TAAGAAGTCGTAGTCCTCCACTCTGTCCATGCTACTTTCTCCGTCCAGGAAATAAGTGCTTGATTTCTTAGTGTTTCTACTGCCAGACATTCCCAAAATTTGTAATACATCACTCTTGCTTATCCACCTTTTGCTTCAGTATCAATTCTGTATTTTCAATCTCGGTAGTTCTGTCATCCCATTTTTTATATGCACCGCTTTGTCCTATGCCTTTCTTCACAGCTGTTGCCTAAAATATATTAGAGCTTTTATTAACAACCAATTTCATACAATTTTGGCCTAGAGGGACATACCCTATAACTGATGTCAAACTAAATAACCTCCAAGACATAAATAATAGAATCTTTGAAAATATTATAACTTAAATTAAAAGTTTCAGCTACACATTCCCAATCATTATCGATATAAAACAGCTGTTAAAATATGTTGCAGTACTGTAAACCAGTAAATTTACTAGTATTTCAGAACGCCTCTAAATTGATAAATTGTGGTAAAATGAGGTTTCTTTCAGCATAGATTCGTCTTTGACGTAGTTTTTATTTATCATTTTACTTTCATTGAGCACAAACTTTATGTATCGAGAATATAATCAGCTAGATGTAGGGAGGGCCCCTTTATCTAAAGTTTTGTTTAACATACCTGTGGCAAGGTTTAAAAACAAACTACTACATTGTACAACCTATAGACTTGTAATGTAAATTTCCAATGCAAATCAATGATCATACCAGTAAGATGATGGTGGCCCTAAAACACTCGTCTTAAAATCAAGGCTTTTCATTTAAGATTTACAGTACCTAAATCCCCAAGGGCAGCATGTCCAGCCTGCTTGATTGTAATGCTTATTTTATAGCAGACGCTGTGAACTGCATCAAAATGGATAAAAAACCCGCTAAATGTGACCTTGACCTTTGAGCATGGGTCTTATGTATACGTGTGACACACCTTGTCATGGCGGTGAACAATTGTACCAAGTTATTTTATATTACCCTCAGCAAAATTCTGACCTTTAACCCCTACGATCTGGGTCGGATTGTCTTTTACAATAAATAAATAAATAAATAATAATTAAATAAACGCGCCAAAGTGAAGTCCTCACCATGAAATTAAGTGCGTATGCGTGTCCTAGTGTGATTCAAAACAGTTTTTCTTGTATATAAAGTCCAACTTACTTACTCGTATTCTCGCTGCCGCTACTTGTGGCGTCAATCTTTCAACGGAATGGTTTCTCGCGTTCAGTTTTAATGATAAGATTTAAGTATTAAATATTAAAAATTCAATTTTTAATATTAAGAATCAATTTTTAAATATTAAGTTTTAATTTAAAATGTCCCTCCAGGGCTTCCATATATATTGAAGAACTGGTATCATATAATGTGAAAATCAACTTATATATTGCTACTTCGGTTACATACATTGATAAACTGGTTTCATATATTGTAAAATTGATTTAATATATTGATAATTCGGTTTCATATAAGGGCATCTGGTTCCATACATGACTTACTTGGATCCATATATTGAAGATCTGGTATCATATAATGTGATAATCAACTTATATATTGATACTTCGGTTCAATACATTGATAAACTGGTTTCATATATTGTAAAATTGATTTAATATATTGATAATTCGGTTTCATATAAGGGCATCTGGTTCCATACATGACTTACTTGGATCCATATATTGAAGATCTGGTATCATATAATGTGATAATCAACTTATATATTGATACTTCGGCTCCATACATTGATAAAATGGTTTCATATATTGTAAAAATGAATTAATATATTGATAATTCGGTTTCATATAAGGACATCTGGTTCCATACATTGCTACTTTGGTACCATATATTGAAGACCTGGTATCATATAATGTGATAATCGACTTACTTTGGTTCAATACATGGATGAAATGGTTTCATATATTGTAAAAATGAATTTATATATTGATAATTTGGTTTCATATAAGAACACCTGGTTCCATACATTGTTACTTTGGTTCCATATATTGAATAATTGGTATCATATATTGTAATAACCAACTCATATATTGCTACTTTGGTTCCATACATTGATAAAATGGTTTCATATATTGTAAAAATGAATTAATATATTGATAATTTGGTTTCATATAAGGACACTTGGTTCCATACATTGCTACTTTTAAATCATTAAATAAAGACTTTACTTACTCACTCACTCACTCACTCACTCACTCACTCACTCACTCACTCACTCACTCACTCACTCACTCACTCACTCACTCACTTTGGTTCCATATATTGAATAATAGGTATAACCAATTATATATTGCTACTTTGGTTCCATACATTGATTAAATGGTTTCATATATTGTAAAAATGAATTAATATATTGATAATTCGGTTTCATATAATGATATCTGGTTCAATACATGGCTACTTTGGTACCATATATTGAAGAATTGGAATCATATATTGAGAAAATCAACTTATATATTGCTAACTCGGTTTCATACACTGACAGTATGGTTTCATATATTGTAACTGTGGATTAATATAATGGATTCCGGTTAAATAAGAAGGTGTTTTCAATTTATATATAGTCGAAGTGAACTCATATATTATCCAAATGGTTACATAAATTGAAAAAAGAACAATATCAGACAGCCATGGCTTTCCATATGAAAGCATGACTTTCTTGTTATCTCTAGCAAATTTAATCATATGAAATCCAATATGAAAATGGTGGTTATCAAGTAGTAAAAGTACTTTTTGCTCTTTGCTAGGTTTTGCAACTTTAGCAAAATGCGTATAAATGTATCAATTAATGTGTAAAGGTTCTCTAATGACATTTATCTTGAAGGATACGATGCTCCTGTCTAACCCGGATAGAATGGTCATAGAATTTTACCAAAGGAAAAACAAACACGTTGACCCATTGCACGTGGTGTTTCTCCTTTATTGGTCCTGCGCATATAGTTTCTGACCATAATTCTAATAATAAAATGGAACTTAATGTATTAAAGCATAACAATATAACCAGTAAGCACTTGATAAAATTAATCATTGAGACAATATAAGATCTAATTATAAAAGATATCAGCTGGTGTAAGTTGATGCACTGCGACAACGTGCCACTTATACACTGCATCAACGACCATGCAGCACGTGACTTCATATAGGGTAGTGAACTCATTCTTATCAAATAGATCGTATTTTGATGATCGGGTTGTAGACTAAACGCAAATTAAAGAAAAATATTCAAAATTTACTCACGTGGCAGAGAAATTACTTGTTATATAAAGTTGAACAATGGACAACTGCCAAACCGGAGTTGCCGTACCCACAGATTTCCCAGGCCAAGTATCGGGACGAAACTTCTCGGAGGGGAAAGTAATGTAACGACGTTGCTAGAACGTGATAATGAGCAAAAACTATTTAAACCTGGTGAATTGACATTTGGTAAAGTATCCCATATATAAGGGCATAAACCACTCATTGGTAGTGAGCTAGCTTTTCACTGACACTGACGGGGTTTGTGTGCCCTACATGTTATAGATAGATCAAGCTCTATTCAAATAGAAAAAAAAAATCTTTTTTGTTATATTGTCTTAAACAATATAACAAAAAATCAGATTTTTTATATATTTTAATATTCTTTTTGGCTTGCAGCCATTTCATTTGGAAAACTTGTTCCGGTTAGGTGGTTTCCTGCTTACATCTGTTGGTGCATGATTGAACGGGAAACCAGCTGCAATCGTGCCAATCGCAACTTTTCGGCCTTTTCCGTCACTCTTCGGATTAATGATAATAGCCGATGTAGTTCCGATTGCAATCGTGACAATTCGGGCGATTCCGTCATACTGCGGAATCAGACGAAGTAAGCTATTTTAGTTACTTCGGTAATCCCAGTTTGTTTATATAAATAGGATTTCTATTTTTACTTGATTTATCGGTTTAAACCGTAATAAATTATAAACGAAATTGTTCCGTTTCAATTGTTTTTCAAGACGCAAAAGTAAGTTTCTTTTATAATTGTTTTTGTCTGTATTAGTTTTATACAATAGAGAATGGTGACTGTAGTAGTATTCCGTCTTCAAAGGGTGGTCCTGCTTACCAAATCACGCATGATCGAGTTATATTTAGATCTACTGAATTGGTGAGGTAATCTAAAAATAGCCCATGCATATCATTAACCTTTCCACGTGCTGATCTACAGATAGCGCATCGTCTATTTGTGAACGTGTAACATAGTTGATACATGCTTATTAATTGGTACCACGTACCGAAGTATTTTAGTGCATTTACTTGTCTATAAAGCAAAGGAATGATTTCGCTGCGAAAAAGGGGAAATGAAATGTGCACACTTGTTTTCCTTCAGTATCACGTTAGAATTTATACGATTGATCATTTTCTTTATTAGTTTTATACAATAGAGAATAGATTTCAAATCGTTTTGACAAAAAATATTCGGTTTTCCAAAAAAAACAAAAAAACTAAATAAACCCTTTATGATATACAAATACCGTAATTAAAAAAAATGTGATAATAAATTGAAACAAAAAAAAACAATTTTAAAGGGTTGGGATTAAGGCACAACTGTGCAAGCCTTTCCTTTTAAAAGGAAACTTTATTAATATTTAGATTAAATCAGGTACGTATGTTAATATACGTACCTGATTAAATACTGCAGATCAATGAGACTCCAGCGTGAATATATGTAGAATATATTTTAAGTTATTAAATAAATAAATTAATAAATAGCCATATAAGGATATATTTGTCGACTATCGCAACCGACGGATCACATTTCTTTCGAAAAATAAAAATGATTCATTGCAAGTCGAACCTAAATTCTATAGTAATGTCTGACCTAATATTTCACATGACATTTGCGCATAATTACCGTCGCTTATGTATATTTAAGATACATTTGTTTTGTTTTATCTTAGCTTCCTTGAGATATTAAACGGTTGTTAATCAAGTTGTTAATACATAATAGTAAAATTTATAGACATGCATATGATTATTTTTTTTGTTGAATTTTGAAGTTCAATGTTGTAGATAATAACAAATGTCAATGCTATAAGCGATATTTTACGGAAGTATTTTCGGCCATGAAAAGTTAAAACCGTTATTGATACAAAAAAAGACTGTCAAAATGTCCGGAAATGTTGGCATGGAGCAGCTTATTCCGATTGTGAATAAGCTGCAAGATGCCTTTGCTCAACTTGGTGTTCCAATTTCCCTTGATTTACCCCAGATTGCTGTAGTTGGAAGTCAAAGCGCTGGTAAAAGTTCTGTTTTGGAAAATTTCGTTGGGAGGTAAGTTTTTTTGGCTTTTACATCAAATGTCAGTTGGTATGATAATGGATTAATGTCGTCCCATTTTTAACGATTTCTTAGTTATGAATCGTTATTATTTTGCTTAACATTTAATTCAAAGAACGAACGTTTCTAAGGGGGCGTTTTCATACCAATTTACATTTTCATAATAAATTAATGTGGGTGGGGTTTAAGTTATAATCATTGGTAAGGTTATACTGGGCATACATTATAACTGATGTACAATGTACTCTGAAATATTCTTCTAGTATAGTAACCTGGATCTATTCCAGGAAATTTACCCTATAAAAATTTCAACTCGTAGTCGATAGAATCAACACAATCTGAAAAAAGTTCAGATCTACTTAAATTATATCTTGCGTGTAGATCTAATTACCACTGTATTTATATCGCCTTCATTGTGATTTGGATTTCCAGAGTAAGTGATTTTAAGCCTTGCAATGAAACCGTGTTTTACAGGTAGGCATGGGACAAAGTATCTAAGTATTGCTGTCCATGGAAGTAAAACAAATTTTTGATTTTGTTTAAGAAAAAAAATGTTTGAAGTAATTTGAAACAAATTAGCTAGAAATAACAGACTCAATTTTTATGGGGAAGATCTTTTTTTACCAGTTAACCTGCCTGCTATATGGACCATGCTATGTATGTTCTCGATAGCTTTCAAAATTATGAAAGGCTCGCCAATAATTGGCTGTTTGAAAGGTCACAAGAAGGTGACAACCTATTGGTCAATGGTTGTCATTAGATCCTCATGTGTAGTGTTTATTAGGAGCTGATTTTGATTTTAATCAGATTGGAATCACCATAATCATGTTTTATCAGACTAGGCAGTAAGTGTGGGGGGAGGGTTCCCCCTTGTGCATGAATGTCAAAATTAAGGATTTGTGCTACATGTTACACATAATTCAGAGCTCCTGAGTTTCAGAGATAAATGGGCGATACCTACCCCTATGAAACATGTTTTAATATTTGGTATATTCTTTTAATTCAATTTCCTTCATTCCCCACAAAAAAATGATACATACATATTAATATTTAGTAAAGGTATGCAACACTCCGCTCATTTTTCAGCACTCATCTTAATATGAACTCCATAACTTCAACATTTTTTCACCAATTTTCAAAATCTTGGTACCAAATGGTAGGGCATTGATTACTCTTAAAGGAAATAAAGCTGTCATTACAATCATTTCAAGTTATAAGAAAATATATAATCTCGAAGTCACTGACTCTTAAAAGTCGACAGTGACCTGACCGCTGGGTTTTTATGAAAATTACCTGACTAAACAGCACTTTATTCAAAATGAAAGAATTTTTTTGTATTGCACATTTAAATATGTTAAAATTATAGTATTATTTGTAATAACTTTTCAATCAAAACATCACATAAACCTGGAAGGAACCATTTTTTCCGATATGTTAAATTTTAGTAACTGGTTCTGCAGAGTGCTCTCCTCTTTATTTCTCCCCTTTATTTTTTGTACGAAGTATTTTCAGTGGTCTAAGGTTTTTCTCATGACCAATGAAAATGCTTCATACGAATAGGGGTTTGGATCGTCGGATAAGTGACAATCCGATCCAAGATTCAGCACTTACGATTCACAAATTGAACCACAAATCTTTATTTTTCAATACACCCATAAAAAAATGAACATAAGCTCTGAAAATATGCTTATTTTTCTTTAAACAATATTAAACATTAAACAATACTAAACATTAAACAATTATGCAAATTTTCTCATTTTTTATTGAAATACCAAAGTGTTTCCAAACATTGGAAGTAAATTTTGCAGGTGGAATTTTATATCGACGCGACTCCTTTTCAGCCATTGTTGCAGACAGGATGTGTGATGTCACACTAACTTTGCAAATTTTGGATTGTTACAAATAGAACCATCTTCAATACATGTCACGTTATCATAAATCTATATATAGCGACTAAAAATATTTAATAGGTAACAGACCGGAATATCTAGCTCTTGGGTAACTGTTTTAAAAAAAACTAGGCAAAGCCTCATTACCGCTTCAAGCTGGACATTCCGATCTGTACCTACAGACGGTGTAAGATTCTTATAAGGTTAATTGGTTGCACTAAGTAATTGGAATGTGCCATAAATATGTTTTAGAAATTCATCAAGGGGAAATCTCCAAATTAATATCAAATTCAATTAACTGAATATGATAATTTAACATAAATTAAAGAAATTTTATTTACTTTAATCTGAAAAAAAGATGTTTTACCAAAAAGAAAAATTTTGGCAAGTAAATTGTTTGAAAGGGTAAGAAAGAATTAGCAATAAAAAAAGGTATGAAAATATTGACTAAAGAAGTGGCATAAATGATAAAGGCATATATTTTCTTCTCTTTGAAAGCTCTAACATGTTGATGCATTATATTTACATATTGTAAATATAAAGATAAATAAATATCTATTTTTTGTAAGACATATGAAAGTCAAAGCAGTAGGTGTGCATTGACCTGTAGTGTATGATGCACTCATCCAATACTTATAATTGTTGGGATAAATTGTTTGTTTAGCTCAGCTATTTTGTATGGAATTTGTAGTATTTAAAGCTATTTACAATCTTGAATGATAATTTCATATTTTAGACACTTCATCCTCCAATTCACACTCAAGCCACTTCACCCGAAGACATTATATTGAAATATTTACTGTAGAAAAAATAATGCATAAGGGGTGAAGTGTACTAAAAAATTGAAGATGAAGTGCCTCATTCTCTTGCCAATTTGCAAAGCAACATCAGGCATACTTTTGTATGAATAAGTTACTTTCAGTAATTAACCTAACGGTAAATGGCTCAATTAATGTCTGCATATACTAATACATGTACATGTAGTTGAATAGAGAAGTGAATTTTTCCTAAATTTTACCTTGCTAGAACCCTGTGTTATTGGTCATACACTAAGTGTATAATAAATTAGACAGGGCTCTAGCTAGGCTAATGACTGTATGTTTATTTCATAATATGTCTATAAAATTCACAAAAATGTTCCATGTTACAAAATTCAGCAAAGTCAAATATGTCTTGTTTTATATATGGTGATAAAGAACCTATACCCTTATGAGTAATTCATTTAATTCTTTAAAAAAAATATGATCGCAGATATCAGTATCAGGGCTCTCAAATGACAGGCGTGGAAATCAGAAAGGTCATACACTTGACTTGTGATAAAATCTGTTCAAAAGTCATTTTGCCATGCAAACTTTTCTGTTAAATTGTACATCATTGTTTTCACTTCAGACCCTACTCGGAGTCCAGAACATATTGAGGGCCAATGTATTTTATGGTGAATTTTTATCTGTTAAAGAGCTTTTAGTCTTGTTCATCAGAACTATGAATCACTGAAAATGTGCAGGCATAAATACGTGTCCAAATTAGTAATGAGCTACTAGCTTTAGAATAATCCCCGGCAAGATTATGAGCTTTAAAGTATACCAGTTGTAAACCTATATGTCCCGCAAGATTTTGAGTGAAGGTCATATATTTAGGGCTGTTCGAACTCGATATTTATAGGAAAGATTGAGTAGAATTGTATTGGAAGTATTTTGGAATCAATATCTCATGCTCTGGACCTAACATTTATCTTTACTTTGAGAGATCTTCTGTAAGAGAGGATCAATATTATTGGAGAATTGCTTGTACCATTTCTTGGCTTTCAAAGCTCAGCACACTGTATAGTTCCTGTGAAAGAATTGGGCTAAATACCTGTTTCCAAGTATTGGAAATTTTATTATAACTAAAATAATCGCTAAATTGGCCATTGATAGATAACTGGGTTTATATTTATGCAGGTCTGTGGTCTGGTAGCTTATGGTGATGAGTAGGGACCTGTCCTATTTTATTTGGATCTGCCCATTATTTAGTTTATACATGTATATACATGTTGATCATTGGTCTTTGAATCAAAACATTCAAATTTAGCAGTGAACAGTTAAGAATTCTGTTAGATTGCAAAAGTCATGTGACTGCCCAGGGTCTTTCAAATAGAATGGTCTGGAGACGGACCAATTTTACCAAAAAAGCTGTCTCGGTTGAGTCACGTGATTGGGTTATCTACCGACCGTGATCTGGCTTAGCACATCACCATTAAAAAATCAAATTATAAGATAATGTTTTGTTAGATTAATAAAAAATTACTAAAAACTAACTCTGAACACATTTATTACCAGTTTTTACTGTAAAAGTAACAATTTTATAGATTTGCAATGAAATTAAGAATTTTTCATTCCCGGTGTCAAGGTAAAAATCTACATATTTGAAAATAGGTCCGAGTTTCATGAGCTTTTTTAAATTTATTCATTGTTCAATGACAAAATAGAAATTGATTTTAAAGAGAAAAGATGTTATTCGAATCGTATCATGTAGAAATATCATAATATTTCACGATATTATTTGTAAATATTGGATGTTTAATTTCGTGCATTTTCAAAATGGCGCCGTTTATCGGCAAATATTGTGAAAAAACAATCTATGTTTTTTCAACAAATATAGTTTTAAAAAACATTATTTTCTGAAATATTTATTCTTTTTTCACAAGTTTAAAGATTTTTTAATAACATCATGTCGTTTAAATTTTCATTTTTGCTCTTGTATTTAATATTCGCCCTTTTCTTGAACATTTATATAATTTGCGTACAGCAAACTATACCAAGTTATACCGAGACATGTTTAATTGTAGTGAGAAGGGTTTACATAGCGTGTTTCCAGACCATTCTATTTGAAAGACCCTGGACTGCCAGATGTTCCATGTGACTGCCAAATTGTCCATGGATGCATAACCTGGTAACATATATACATATATGCATACTAGGGAATAAAAGAGCTCTGCTTTAATTAAATAATTGCATAGTATTATTTGATGCTACATGTATAATTAATGCTTCTAACTTCTCATGAATTAACAATTGAGGTGTTTAAGTAAAAGATCATATAGAGACCTTATGTAGGATCAAGGTCGGGGATCAAACAGTAGATATTTCAACAAGGAAGTAAATATTGTTTTGTATACATGAATCATACAGAATTATTTCCTGTTGTACTTTCAATACGTACTTACTTAAATCAACTTTAAAAACATACTGTGGGAAGTAGCTGTAATGAAGCGTAAATTTTTTGGTTCATAAGAAATTAGTGAGCTTGAAATTAATAATTTTATAAACTCTATAAATTTTATATCATGTGTTTCTCTGTTTATGTACTAATGAAAACATAACATGATTTAAGTGAGCATCATAATACTAATTACTTAACAAACTTGTTATCTGGCATAAGAACTTGTCAATTTTGTTAAACATGATTTAATAAAATGTTTAACCCATAAAACAAGCCCTTCTTAACCCTTATCCTGCTTCAACTGAAAATGATAAATCTCTGTCACCGATGTAAAGTCAGGACAGTTGGCTGGTTTTCTTTGATTTTTATTGTGTATCTCTAACAATTGATATTAATCAGTTCCCAAAATTGAAGCTGGTCATAACAAGTGTAGGGTATTTTAGAAATTCAGCAGGTTTAGTGTTGTCCATTTTACATGTAACATGTCCTTCTTTAATTTTAAAATGGTCTGTATTGTTTTATATATGTGGGGGTTATCAAAATAGTAAAATAAATGACCCTATAGTATAGTCTGTGAGAGAACAGTGAGGTGCAGAATGCCATGGCTCTTTGCATTGTCAAAGTGTTACTGCTGCTAGAGTTTACAGGGAGATGATATCTCTTATATAGTTGTGCTTGTTTCATTTTTTCAGAGATTTTTTACCAAGAGGAAATGGTATTGTAACCAGAAGGCCGTTGGTACTTCAACTTATATATGGACCCGCAGGTCAGTTCTAACATTTCATTATATTGTTTACTTGTTACATATCCTAGAGCTTATTATAGTCTACAACAATTATATTTGGCAAATCTGTTTTGAATACAATTACAGTTATTGTAATATGTTCTTCCTTTTAGCTTTTAGTTAGTTATCCTTGGTGTATTAGTTCTGTTTAAACAGAAAGTTAACCATTCTTCCTTATTATGAATCGAAATTAATTGTTCATTTCAGATAGTGGATAGTGTGATGATAAACAATTGACAATGTTGCTTCTTTTTAATATAAAAAATATTATGTTGTTAAACATTCTAGCCTAATATGTTAGCCCAATATGCTAGCCAAACATGTTAGCCAATATGATAGCCAAATATTTAAGTCAGTTCATTTTACTATTGAATTATTCAGCTGTTTTTGCTAAACAATGGTTCATATATGATACAAGATATTTATTTAAGTAACTTGCAAGAACTTTTGAATCAAAACTTGCATTTATTGTGTATATTATTTTATTATGACAGAGTATGCAGAATTCCTGCACCAGAAAGGGAAGAAGTATACTGACTTTGATCAGGTGAGGAAGGAGATTGAAGCTGAGACGGATCGTGTAACTGGGGGAAACAAGGGCATTTCTAACATTCCAATTAACCTGAGAGTTTACTCACCACATGGTATGCTTTTGTAAATGAATATGTTTTACTTTATAAAGAGAATAAACATGATTTTTTAAGCAAATAATACAATTTTAATACATGCTGTCCATCAAAATAGTTGTACAGGTTTAATATTGTTGTTTCAAGCATGAACTTACAGGTTTACCCGTTTATACTTTGACTGTGACATGTGGCCTCAAAACTGGTTATATTTTTCAAAATATAGATATATACAATGTATATCTAAAAGGTTGTTGTCATAAATGGTATATAAGCATATATGATTATTCTTTCATAAATGGTATGCAATTATATGGAAATGAATGCTATTCAACAGCATAGGTTTGCCTAACACATTGATAATAAAGCATGTATGTGTTTCTGTTTCAGTATTAAATTTGACGTTGATAGATTTGCCTGGTATGACAAAGGTACCGGTTGGTGATCAGCCACAGGATATAGAGCAGCAGATACGAAGCATGTTAATGGAGTTTATAACAAAGGAGAGTTGTCTAATCCTGGCTGTAAGTCCTGCCAATACTGATCTTGCTAACTCCGATGCCCTCAAAATTGCAAAAGAAGTTGACCAGCAAGGTTTGTGGTTTGTACTAATTACCGAGAAATTGAAGAGTATATAAAATAAAAATTATTCTCTGTAAAATTTGATAATTATTCAGGATGATTTAAAACTCATGTTACATGTGTATAATCAAGAACAGAGTATATCTGTTTGTTTAAGTGTAGGAATAGATAAAAAATTAATTCACAGAGTTAATACAAGGTGCATTATTTTCATGTGTGGGGCAGCCATGAGTGAGAATATAACATCTGGTGTTTATGAGTGTATTTCAATGTTACCTGCAAATTTACATAACAAATTTTCTAAATTTCCTTTATATTTCATGCTCACAATTGCTTTGATTTATCTTATTATGTTTTTATCACAGTTGTAGACATGTATAAACAGTGTAGTTATAAGTTCTTTCTGATTTTCTAGGTTTAAGAACTATAGGTGTGATTACAAAACTAGATTTGATGGATGAAGGAACTGATGCTAGAGACATCCTTGAAAATCGACTCCTTCCTTTAAGACGAGGTAACTAATTACATTAACTTCTAATCTGCTAAAAGCAAAAATGATAAGCCTCTGTCACTAGTATAGAGTCAGTCCAGCTAGCACATCCATGCTCTGTACTGTTGTTGGCTCAGTTATCATATTTTGTTATTGAAATTGCTTAAAATGGCTTCTCTAAATCCATTTAATATACAAATTCAATGTTAAGAGTTCAGTGTGGAGATTGTGTCACTGATATATGTCATTTTATGCATTAGCAGATGAAACTTTTACATCTCTCAATATGCCATGTTAGCTGTGATAGTAAGATGCTTTTAATTAGCTTAATTAAGATGAAGTATGAAAAAAATGCCAAACAATTTTTTTATCGGAAAATGTCATGAAAAATACACCAATAAGATATTTATAGACAAAATCTTAATAAGATTTCTTGTTGGTGAAGAAATTGATGTTGATCATGTTAAAGTTTATAATTTACTAAAGTATTAGACAAATAAGATGATATTGCTTGTTTTTCTACCTAAAATAGATTTACTAAATTTATCAATATATAAAATACATATTCCAGGTTACATCGGTGTTGTAAATAGAAGCCAAAAAGATATCGAGGGTCGTAAAGATATACGTGCGGCCCTGGCTAATGAGAGGAAATATTTCCTTAGTCACCCCTCATACCGTCATATGGCAGATAGAATGGGCACCCCATATCTTCAGGTAAGGTTATTGGTTAAAGATATACTATAGTGACTTGGATGAGTTTCCTAGTTATTCTTGTTTTGAGTAAAATTTGTAGCATTTTTTTTTCTATGAGCATTTCTTGTTGAAGACGATACTGTGTCATATGCCGTTTGTTTTACATGTAATTTAAGTTCTGTGGAATAACTTAAGTACCAAGAAAAAAAAATCTAATGTTTATTTCATGAAAAATATAGATTAAAATATGTATAAAATGCATATGATATTTTATGACTTTCTTTGTTAATATGATTCTTCCTCTAGATAAAAATATTTAACCTTGTTTTTCCTAAATTTAATGCCTGCATTCATGCTACTGAAAGACTGTGTCATTTATATAAAGGGTATAACAAATAATTTCAGAGAGTTTTAAATCAACAATTGACCAATCATATACGAGACACGTTACCGACATTACGTAGCAGATTACAGGCACAATTACTATCTCTAGAGAAAGATGTTGAAGAGTTTAAAAATTTCAGACCCGACGATCCAGCCCGCAAAACTAAAGCTATGATGCAGTATGTTTGATTAATTTATTAAACTTAATCTATATGATTTGTGCTACAGACTTTTGATGGTTTGAATTTGGATGTGTTAATGTAAAGTTCAAGAATGTCAATATCAGATAGCAAATAATATAGGGAGACTGCTGTAACGTTTTTACTGACCTGACTGTAAAATTGATAATTTAAAAAAATTTGAGCCGCGACACGACAAAATCAACATAATGTGTTTGCGAACAGCATGGATCCAGACCAGCCTGTGCATCCGCGCAGTCTGATCAGGATCCATGCTGTTCGCTTACAAACCCTATTACAAGTAGAGAAACTGATAGCGAACAGCATGGATCCTGATCAGACTGCACGGATGCGCAGGCTGGTCTGGATCCATGCTGGTCGCAAACGCACTGTTGGTTTTGTCGTGACACGGCTCATTATTTGTTGTTGCTGAGTTTAGAAAGTAATTAAGTCATCTAGTATATGCTAATTACTTCTAATTTTCACTGAATTTAGTAGATTTACTATATTATCAACATAGTTAAATAGGACTTTTTTAATCTAAACCCCCTATCAGATAGAGTTCTTTACCTTCAGGATACATTTTAGTTTATCAGTGAAAGTACTTACAAAATAACATGTAATGAAAATGACATTTCAGGATGGTACAACAGTTTGGATTGGATTTTTCTAAGAGTATAGAAGGATCTGGTGATAAAATCAGCATGAAGGAACTGTCGGGAGGAGCTAAAATCAACAGAATTTTCTATGAGAGATTCCCATTTGAATTAGTTAAGGTAAACTATAAGTAAGGTATTCTTAACTCCCTGATACCTTGTCACATGTTGCCCGGCTTATCATTTGGAACATTCTGTTCAATGTTTATGGGATTTCTATAACACAATACAAAGCTACCAATGGTATAGAGACTGGTCAGATCGCAGGAATGTTCTGGCTGGCCTGGCTATATACTGCTGGGAAAGACTAATACTTTTGATATAGACAGCAGATACAACTCTTCACTTAGCATCACTTTGCAAAAAAATTGCTCAGGCTTAAACATTTTTAGTGAAGTTGTTGCGAAAGAGCAAAATAAGAATACAAAGCAAAAAAATTGTCCTGAATCCCTTGTGGTCAGTGGTGTACAATAATTTTATTTACTTGTATATGTATTAAATATAGATAGTAATGGTATTTGTAACTTGAATACAAGGTATAGAAAAGCAAGTAGAAATACCACAGTTTAAAGTATAATATTTCAGTTTTTAGCTTTTTACAAAAAATGTAAACATGGGAGTCCTATCGTTACAGAATTTTTTGAAGTTTGAAAAGAGAACTAATAGATTATTTCCAAGTAACATTTTTTATTTATTCTCTGTAATATCTTTCAAAGGGAAGCAGTGGCGAATGTGAAGGTTCAAGCCCTACTTGGGTCACAACCATGTTTCTTCATATGACACCAGTACTAGTTGGTTCAAGGAAGCAAACCCAAAAGTGATTAATATAAGTTGCAAGAACTTGTTTCGCAATCAAGCTTAAATAAATATGTTTAAACCAATATCTTTCACAGATGGAATTTGATGAAAAAGAATTACGGAGAGAAATAAGTTATGCGATCAAGAATATCCATGGTATAAGGACTGGTCTGTTTACACCAGACATGGCATTTGAGGCAATAGTAAAGAAACAGGTAGAGAAGTTGAGGGCACCATCCCTCAAGTGTATAGATATGGTCATCACAGAGTTAACCAATGTCATTCGTAAAAATACTGAAAAGGTTTGTATATAACTTTTACATACATAATGTAGTCAGATGTCTATTTTTTTTTAATATGTATGCTTGACAATTTAATAATAAAAAATTTAGACAAAATCAAAGCAATAGAGAATATTTGTTTAGTTCAGTGTAAGATCGGAATATATTTCACCGAGTGAGCACCAAAAGGTATATTTCACGAGTGGTGCAGCCACAAGTGAAATATGAACTTTTGGTGTTCACATTGTAATAATACAATGTGACGTCATTTACGACGTCACGTCATTAAGTTGGTACCCAGTACTGTGCACGCTGGTATTTCACTGAAACAACGTAAGGGGCTTAAATTCAAAACAGTGAAATTATCAAAGTGGTAATTTTACTGTTTCAAACAGTGAAATTACCACTTTTATATCACTGATATATTTCTATAAACCACCGAAAAGCATGTAATAAATGTCATTCATGCTTCAATTTTTTTAAATATGTGACTAAAAATCATCATAATATGTGACTAAAAATCATCATAATATGTGACTAAAAATCATCATAATATGTGACTAAAAATCATCATAATATGTGACTAAAAATCATCATAATATGTGACTAAAAATCATCATAATATGTGACTAAAAATCATCATAATATGTGACTAAAAATCATCATAATATGTGACTAAAAATCATCATAATATGTGACTAAAAATCATCATAATATGTGACTAAAAATCATCATAATATGTGACTAAAAATCATCATAATGATGTGTTATATCCTTGAGTGTTTATTTTAGATGAGTCGTTATCCAATGTTGCGAGAAGAGACAGAAAGAATCGTAAACACATGTGTGCGAGAACGCGAGGCTAAATGTAAGGAACAAATCATGTTGTTAGTGGATATACAGCTCGCTTATATGAATACAAATCATGAAGATTTCATCGGATTTGCCAAGTAAGTGTTACAGGGAGTAAAAATATAGTACAGTCCGACCCCGGTTATTTGACAACCCTTTATTCGAATACCCGGCATTATCCGAAGTAGATTGGCGGTCCCGTTTTTATCTCTATATAAAACAATATAAGTACGAGCGTATTATTCGAAATGCATTATCCGAATACCTCATAATTTTTGAAGTAAAATTTTGGTCCCAATTATACAATTATGAAAGATTTTCACACCTATTTTTCGATGCCAGACTAATTGGCACAGATCCACTGGCTGACCATTCGACTTGTGAAACATTTTCAACATTCATGCGTGTATTTAGACAATCATGATAATAACTATTTGCGTGTTTTTTAATCAATTTAATTACCGAAAATGAAAAGCTATGCACCGTGTCCGATTTTTATTGCTTGAGGATGACAACAATAATTTTCATACATACCGTATATGTGAATTTGTCAAAACATCCAAAACATTTTTTTTTCGCTACATGAGAGCCTTTATCCTAATCGAAAATACCAGAGTTTAGTTGTAAATACCGTAGTGACAACACGGCCATTATCAAGGCTTTTCACTTTCATGAACCGATACATAATGTAGAATAAAATGCAAGTATCTATGTCTTCAATGTCAATAATATGATTTTTACGCATCTTTTTTTTAATATTTATTTTTCTCAATTGATTACAGGAAGTAAGTGTGTTGTAAACGGTAGTTTTGCTATGATTGGTCAAAGTGGAGTAGTTTTTGTCTATCACAATATTCCGATTTCGATTATTCGAACCCATCGATTATTCGAAGTAAATATTCAGTCCCTGGCACTTCGAATAAACGGGGTTGGACTGTATATACAAAGTAACAACAGGCTCAGTCTGACTAGCAAAATTTCTAATCAGCTATGTTGGACTATGTATACTAGATATGTCATGTATGTAGTAAATTGTAACATTAGTAGGAAGTGATAAATTTGTCAACATTATAGTAATTTATCATGTCCACAATATAGAGGATATTGAATGAGTGTAGGTTCAAAACTGAATTAATTGAATAAAGTTGTACATTTTATCAAATGGGCCTTTGACATTGTACCTTTGATACATATTTTTGCTAGGCCAAAACATTTTCAAAAGCAACATTTTGAACAAATTTGCGAGGTTAGATACTTAGGGATATCTGCTTTCAGTTCTGTTATATTTTATGCTGTAGATACTTGATATTTTAAGTCGGCAAATATTTACTGTCATGAAAATCTTTGATTTGCAAAGTAAGTGAAATTGAATCCCTTGCAAAAATTTCTGATTTTACAGTAATTTCCAGTTGAAACATGAATAATGATAATTGTTATATTTATTTTAGTGCACAACAAAAATCAGATAATTCAACAAAAAGAAAAGTTGGCAACCAGGTGAGTATACATGAAAATAACTTTTGTCATGTCACAAATCAAACATATATGAGCCGCGTCACGACAAAACCAACGTAATGCGTTTGCGACCAGTATGGATCCAGACCAGCCTGCGCATCAGCGCAGTCTGATCAGGATCCATGCTGTTCGCTTACAAACCCTATTACAAGTAGAGAAACTGATAGCGAACAGCATGGATCCTGATCAGTCTGTGCGGATGCGCAGGCTGGTCTGGATCCATGCTGGTCGCAAACGCATTACAATGGTTTTGTCATGACGCGGCTTATGTTTCTAAATATGAAGAAAATTGTAAAAACACTAGAATAGATTACCATGGTCTCATTCCACTTATTTTTTAGTGCAAAATTTGAAAGTTTTAATTAAGATGACTAAATACAAATTTTTTGACTAACAAAATTGTTATGAAAGAATTGTAATCTTGAAATGTAATGTTGTTTAGGAAATAGATATCAATTTTGAGTGCATTGTTGTAGAATAATGCACAGTTCGAGTTCAAATGCTCAGGAATAAAGTCATTAAGGCTGATAGGCTTAGTGATTAATTACAAAGTGTTTGAACAATAAACACATGCATTATTATACTTTAATGCAAGAAAAATTAATATTTATTTCCATTCAAACATGCTAATAAAAAAAGGAAATTGATTAAGATGTGCTGAACTACATTGAGGGTAGAAGTAATTTTCCTGACGTCATTTGGTTTATTGACGTCACATGGCTTGTAAGCATTTGTTTTTGTGCTGTGCATATTATCATGCACTTGACAGCCCTATCTGTTTAATAGGAGAATATTGTGATGCATGTTAGAATTATGAATTTGAAACATTGTATATTGTATAAAGTTATGTTTCATTTACATATTTTATTTACTTACTTAGAATTTACTTTACTTACATAGCTATTGGTATTATTTTAGATGAGAAATTATATATGTTAAATGTAAGGAACAAAACAGATTTTGTTGCCAATATGTCAGTATGTAATTTTTAAGGATTCGAAATTTAAAGGAATTGATCTACCTTGGACAAATGTAAGTGTATTTCCTATAAAGAAGGAAAAGTGAAGGATGGCATGTTAAATAAGGAAGCATGGTTCATATTCTCTGTGATTGTTTAACAGAGAAAATTCCAGTAATTGACAACAATGTGTTGTTGTAGGTTGATGACATTAATATCTTTCAACTTGGTTTTGTTTCTTTCATACTAGAAGAAAGTTGAGGTCTGTATTTGATAGGATAGAATGTAATTCTCTGCTATAGTTCACCATGGCTTATTACTTGACTTGCAGCATTGTTACAAAAGTTTTCTCTCAGCTTTGTTAAGAAAATTGCCTGTTTGACTTTATAGTAAATCCTTTGAATGACTAAGAAACAACAAATTAGCTCAAGTAGCTAAAAAGGTTGTCAGGATAAAATGATTCCTCTTTCCCTTCTTTAAATGCAACTTTGTATTGAATTAGAGGATAACATGATTCCTTTCCCTTCTTTTAATGCAACTAAGTATTGAAATAGAAGTGTTTGAGCTCCTTTACTCAAATCAGTGGATGGATAGTCAGCCAACACGTTCTATAGCATCATTTGACGCCTCGAGTATGACAAACTAAGCTTTATACTGCCTTTCTTTGTAGTAGAACTAGGATTTTTTTTATATCAAACTTGACCTGTTATGACGTTGATTAGATCTTTTAGTTTTATTTATTTAAGGGGTTCTGAATTTTGTGAAGGTATGATCATTCATTTTAATTAATGACACTATGAAATGTTTAAGGTGCTGATTGTAAACAAGTTCTTTCAACCTGTATAAAACATTTTCTGTACTAATTAGTACTAATTGGTGCTGTATGGAACATTTTCTTGACCCATGTAAAGTTCCAGCCCACAATTTCACAGTAAACGTTAAGACGCCTTCGTCATAGAGCTACCACTCACCTAAAATATCTGCAATTAAATTAAAAGATATACTGCAATCTGGCCATGTTTTGATTTTTTTTTTTTTTTTTTTTTGATTTTTTTTTAACTTCAATAAATTGAAGTGTTTTAGGTATGGTGTAGTAGAACTTTGTTGTATTAACTTATAACTTCCAATTACAGGTTATTCGAAAAGGTTGGCTGACTCTTCATAACATAAGTTTTATGAAGGGCGGATCAAAGGAATTCTGGTTTGTTCTGACAGCTGAAAGTCTGGCTTGGTTTAAGGATGAGGAGGTAAATATATTCATTGTTTTATTTTATATTTTTATATACTTTATAAATAAAATAAAGCTTTTCAAGTAATTAAAGATAGTAGAAAGAATTGGACTTCTTAAAAAAAGTCACTGTTGATGTATTGAATTATACTTTATATAGATGCATTTGAGATTTGATGTCTGAAATTGTGTACGGAAAGATATAAAGAATAACATTTTTATAATAAGAAGTTTGATAACGTTTATAAAGAATATAGATACTGTTAAAAACTGGTAAATTTTTGACAGCTTAATATTGCTTCATCACATATCACATATATACATTTATGAGATTCTCTCATGTGACATAGGTATCCCACTTATTTTATGGCAGTTAGTGGTTCTATCTTTAGCCCCAGTTTACCTGAAATACTGGCATTATAAACCTGGAATGTTACCATATACGTGAACCTGTTTTATTATGACTCAAAACTCAACGAAAATGAAAATGTTAACAGCGACTAAAATTTCGATGATGAGATCAAATCATGTAAAAAGTATAAAGTAACTATTATATGCTGATCCTAGCTTATATAAACATCCATATATAGCTCATGTCAGCTTGAGTGGTGTTTATCATATGTTTTGATGAGACATTGAAACGTGTTAGATATAAGTCATATCACACTGTTAAACTGAGTGAGATATAGACACTTGGTTCCCATTCTATACGTTTAAAGATAATAATGTGTGTTATCATTCTGAAGTGAGAATTGTTTTATATTTTCACTTGTGCTTTTGCTCTTGAAAATATTTGTTTTTAAATTACTTCTTAGAAAAATATAGTCCATGTATCATTGGAAGCAGTGAAATATCCTCTACATATTAAACCATAGCCCTGTATATCTCACTTGACATGCTTCATTGAATATTTTAGTTCTGTCTTTGAAAATAGGGAGATAATTCTAGCAAACTACTATTGCCAGATCAACACTAAAGTGTCATCCACTGTTTAAAGGCATTGTACTTACAAGTTTTATGTAACTTTTTAATTTAACTTTTCTTTTTGATCTTCAGATATTTGTCAATTTTCTAAAATTTACTTCTTTAATGTGGTATTTGACCTTTCTGTACTAGACAGCTGCAATATAAAATTCTTTGCTTCATTGGTGTAGGTTATTCCTTGATATGTATGTAGAAAATGTCAGTAGAGTAAAATGATCTTGTAACTTATTAAGGAGAAAATTCTGGTCTGAAATTAAAGTTCTTATATTAAGTTAATTGGTTTAAACATATTTATTTAACCTTGATTGCGAAACAAGTTCTTGCAACTTATATTAATCACTTTTGAGTCCGCTTCCTGGAACCAACCAGTACTGGTGTCATATGGAGAAACATGGTCGTGACCCGCATAGGGCTCGAACCCATGATCTCTGGGTTGAGAGGCAGACACCTTAACCACTAGGCCACCGCTCCCCAATTAAGTTAATTCTGAGTAAAAAATCAGGGAATGGAGTAAATATACATTTCATTGTAACTTTTTTATGAGCCTTTTGAATGAAAGGAGTGCCTTATATGAGATTTTCTTCATTATTATTATTTACCTTATATTTTATTATGAACAGAAATTTAATGTTGATAATGATTCCAGGATCTGAAATTTCTCCTGATTTTAGATTTTATTTTCTTAGTAAATAAAACAATTGGTCTGGAATAGAAACAACAGGCTAACTCTTGAAAGGACACTATTTTCAAAGGCATTACAAAAATAAAATAATCCCGCCTTTTTATTTTTTTAACCGATCCATCCACAAACATTATATTTACACAGTGTGTATATCACTTCAGTAAATCATTATCCAAGCTTCTTGCACTTAACTTGTTGATAATTTGCTTCTGAGATATATAATAAAATATACTTGCTATATTGAGATATGTGTATACATGTGTTAATAAACACAATACAATAAGTGATAATCTCATCAAATGATATTCATAATTTCATATTGTACTTTTTTGTCCAGTTAATTTTTTTGTAGGCTTAATTTTAGCTATTTTATTTTTTAGTGGGAGGGCTTTTGTAGAGATGTAGTACATTTGATCTTTTCTATCTGACTTCTAGCAGAAGATAATGAAACTATTTGATTGCTACAATTGTTGTATACTGCAGAAAACAAAGGCATTACCTTCACTTACATTAAATGAACATTAAGACACATTTTAAAAATCACAGGCACCTTCTGTAATGGGGGCATGATACTATTGTCTTTAAAATGTTTTTAATGAATACAATTGTACTAACAAAATATCAGTTTGTTAGATTTGCTAAATAATAGAGTGCAATTTGCTGTGTATCTTGGTTTACCGTGTCCTTAATGTCTAATCCCTAACTACTCCCCACCCCCACCACACCCCCAACCCTCACCAACACAATTCTTACAGCCACTTTCTTGTATCACTGTACATTCTTCTATTTTAAATTCATTTTAGAACCCAAGAACTATTTTTATTTTGTACATGTTATATAATGAGACTATGACAAACCAATCAGAAAAGCGTGGTTTTGTTTTATTATTATCATAGCATGCATACAGTAAGCTGTATCTAAAATTTAATGACAAATGTTGGGAATTTTCTTTCTTTCCAACATAAGAATGCAAGGGAGGTAATCCATAATTACAGTCACAGCTAATCTTCTATTAAATATTTTTGGTGAAAAATTTTACAATACATATGCAAAATAAATAAGATCATTTTGGAAAAAAAACAGCAGATGTAAGGAGAGGTTCCTTTGATGCAAAGATCATTTTTTCATCACATGGCTGTTTATTTTATGAAGTCATGTCTTGTTTTCTTACCAATTTTGTCTAAAATATTGCCATGAAGAAATAGGTGAACTTTGTCAAGTTTCTTATTTAAATGGAATAGTGTAATAAATAAATGGAATAATGTAATATTTATTGTTGAAAGATTTGTTAAAGGTGATAGATTGAGAGATGTGACTGTATGTTAACTGTTATATAAACAAGCACTGTCTAACCTGTACAAATACACCATCATGATTTTATTCATGCTTTTGCATGCTCAGGGTGGCCAATATTGTAAAGTTTTGATAATATCTACATGATGAGAAATGGTAGAGTTAATGTAACAATCAATGTTTCTAGCATAATTGAATTACACTAAAAATAACTGCATTCTTGGTAAATAATGTTTAACCACACATACACACAATGTTTCTGTAATGCTTTGACAAAAAGTTGAGTTATTGATGATATAGTGAGATTGTGGTGATAATTTTTCTCCCTGACACAGGTTAATAATATAAAAGATTTTCCACACTTGTAATTGCAAGGTAACAAAGAATTAAACAAGATTTTAGTATAAATGAAATTGAATGTAACCACCTGTTGTCACCTGTCTGGACTGAATACTGGTAGTATAGAATTGTTAGTCCCCTACCGGTTTACCGGAGGGGACTTTAGGTTTACCCTCCGTCCGTCTGTCCGTCCGTCCGTCTGTCTGTCCGTCCGTCCGTCAGTCCGTCCGTCCACAAAACTGGATCCCGCGATAACGCAAAAAGTACTGAAAATATTTTTATGAAACTTGGTATATGGATAGATGGCAGTATGGAGATTATGCACGTCTTTTTCTTTTCTTCCTATGTTGAAAATTCTGGTTGCTATGGCAACAAATAGGCTAAAAATATGGCAAATTTTACACATAAACTGGATCCAGTGATAACGCAAAAAGTACTAGAAATATTTTTATGAAACTTGACATATGGGTAGATGGCAGTCTTGGAATTATGCACGTCTTTTTCTTTTCTTCCTATGTTGAAAATTCTGGTTGCTATGGCAACAAATAGGCTGAAAATATGGCAAATTTTACACATAAACTGGATCCAGTGATAAAGCAAAAAGTACTGGAAATATTTTTATGAAACTTTAAAAATGGGTAGATGGCAGTCTGTATATCATGCACGTTTTTTTTCTTTTCTTCTATGTTGAAAATTCTGGTTGCTATGACAACAAATAGACCGAAAATATGGCAAATTTAACACATAAACTGGATCCAGTGATAAAGCAAAAAGTACTGAAAATATTTTTATGAAACTTGACATATGGGTAGATGGCAGTCTTGAGATTATGCACGTCTTTTTCTTTTCTTCCTATGTTGAAAATTCTGGTTGCTATGGCAACACATAGACTGAAAATATGGCAAATTTTACACATAAACTGAATCCAGTGATAACTCAAAAAGTACTGGAAATATTTTTATGAAACTTGACATATGGGTAGATAGCAGTGTTGAGATTATGCATGTCTTATCTGTTCTTCCTATTTTGAAAAAATATCAGTTGCCTTGGCAACAAATAGGCTTAAAACATGGCAAATATAACAATATTTGTGATTAGTCAAAAAGAGCTGAAAACTTTTATGAAATTGCATCTTTAATTCAAGAGTTATCTCCTCTTTAAGAATTCTGCTTTTAAAATGTTATATTTTGGTAACAGGGATGTTTCAAATATTAACTTTAGAGTGTCCTTCAGTCCGTCTGTCTGTCTGTTCATAAAAACTGTTTCCTGTTTTAAAGAACTTTTCCAACAAGTTTACTTAAAATAGAGAAAAATTGAAACATAAGTGAATGGCCAATGGCCCTTCAGAATGTTGATAGGGTTCTAACCGGTAGGGGACTTATGGATTGCTTGCAATACTATGATAATTGCTTGTTATTATTAATATTGTCATTAAATGATGTAAAGCAAACATATAGCACCTTCTTTGCTCCTTACTCTCTACTTAATTAGATATAGATTACACCATATAATGTTTGTATTAATACAATGTAAAAAAATATTTGATTTTCTTTTGGCTACCCTGATGCTAATATTTCGATACTGAAAACGACCTTAAAAAATTTTGTTGCCCATGTGATTTGAATTTCATTTTGACACATTTATATTTGATTTGTGGAAAATCCTGTATGATTTTTTTTTATATAAAGAAAGCAATAGAAAAGACCAAGTTTAAAAATGTTGGGAAAGTGGAATTAATTTGAATTTAAATGAATAAGTTTGCTTGATATTTACTGCTAGATTTTTATTTGTTTTAAAAGGATTTTACTGGTGATATTTTATGAAGCAGTTGATTGTAATTATGTTAAGTTTTATCTGTAGCTCAACACTTGAATAATGGTCAATCATCTATCATATATCATATAGCAATAATCTGGTTTTAACTTTTATTACCAGCATTGAAAGTTTATTTATGCTTTTGCATTGTGACATTGCATCTTGAACTATTATATGTGTGTATTCAATAATGTATTTGAAGAAGTAATGTTTGTAAAGAAAATTTGTGAGATTGATACTAAAATTTAAGGTTATTCTCCCCTTTTATGAAAGAAATTGTGTTGTTCTTTCTATTCAAGGGCTCTTGCATGTTCTTTCAGCAATGCCTAGAGAAGACCATATAATCTTCTGTAAAAAAAAGTCTGCTAATATCACCTTAAAACTTCAATAGTGTCAGTATAATTTACAGCCCTACCTTATACAAAAATAAACTTTTAACTGATTTTATGAAGAAAATGTCAGAAATTAAACACTGCAGTATATACATTCTGGTGGGTAGATATACCTTCCCATAATTTACCATACATAGAATATAAAATACACTGAGGAAAGTTGGCCTCTCACTGCTCTAAATTAATATCTCAAATATATTTAAATATTTCTTGCATATTTGTTATAACACATGATGTACATCTGACATATGAAATAAGTTAACTGTGATTTAGTTTAACTATAAATAGTGTGTCCCTCTTAATGTAGCTAGGTATTTTAAGTATAAAAAAGTGTTACTAATAAGTGTTTTGGAGTTTGTTGGCTACTGTGTAGAAAAATGCCACTACTTGTTACAGGAAAAAGATAGGAAGTACCTTTTGCCATTGGACAGTTTAGTGATAAGAGATGTCGAGTCTGGCTTCTTTACTCGACACCCTATCTTTGCTATCTTCAGCTCTGAGAATAGGTAACCATTTTGTTCATGGAAAGTGTTATCACATGACTTCTGTTTATGGTCACATGATACTTGTACTACTATAAATAGAATACATAAATGTATGAATTAATTTGCATTAATATTTAGCTCATTTTATGCCAAATGGAAGGAAAAAAACAACGTGTAACATTGTGAGGTGATTTAACAAGCAAAAAATACCTGTAAAGCAACACATGGAAAGAACTGTATTTTTAGGGGTTTTTTTTCAATGGTAGAATGCACTAGAAAATTGACATTTTTGGTATATTAAGATATAATTTGATTATGTTTTTTCTCCTTGTTGTGAAGCTATATAGATTATAGTGTCATTTACAATGTCATGTGACCAAACAAAACTGACCATGTGATTTTGGTCATGCATTTTCATTGGTTGTGGACTTATTTATGAAACAGTGCATGATCTATTTATAGTAACCTGCAAGCTTGTCTGGGGCATGCATTAGAAATACATGTTTGTTTGCTCCTAGCACTTGTTATGCCAAATTATATTGCAGATTTTGATATGTAACCGAGATTTCCTCGCAGCTGCTTTCTGTCTTAGATGCTGGTGGTGTTAATTTTTGTGTCATATATTCTAGGTTCTGAATTCAGATTCCCAATGGCAGTTTATCAAAACTTGGGTTCTCTTTATCGTATTAAAAATGAAATTTTCCAAGATAATAACTGTTAATCAGATCATTAAAGAAATTTACTAAGTTAAGGGAGAAGTTCCAACTTTAAGGGAGAAGTTCCATTAAAGTTGCAACTAGGATATGATAAAACAAGATAAAGAATTATGTTGACTTAATGCTCCTTGATGTATAAAAAAACCTGAATCATTTAAGGTGTCTGCTTTTCATTGATGTTAACCTATAATGTAGTTATTGAACTGCAGTTTAATTGTATATTACACAAGAGATAATAAAACCTGTCATCTTCCTATATCTGAAATATTTCTACCTACTCTTTCATACTTTTCTCTATTGATCTTCTAAACCAAGTCATTAATATTTGCATTTTAATGCAGTAATTAACCTAAAAGTAAACTAATAAGTTAATCCATATAACCCAGTTTACCTAAAAGTTACATGTCCTGGATATCGTGTTCCCCTGTAGACACTTGCACTAACCCAACACATTTATTATATTGTCATTACTCTAGCTATCATATGACAAAAAACGAAGTTATTAGCCATATATAGATGCTGGTTAATTGTCAATTAACAAAGTTATATAAGTATAAATGGCTGTTAATTGACAATTAGTAAGCTCTTAATAATAATAAACAATAATATCCATATATGAATACATTATTTCAGATTTCTTGACAAGCTAGCCTGAGTTGGCAAAAATAAAAATAGAACAGATTAGCCAATAATTGTGAAAGGAAGCAAGCTAGCTATCAGTTGGGAATGACCAAGATAATTTTGACAATGTATAATTTATGTTGACAAATGCTAGCTAGAATTGGCAATATACTAATCTTCTATATTTTACTGATTTAACTAAATAATCTAACCAGTAGAATTTTGTTTATTTTTACTCACTAGGAGAAAGACAAGAAGTACATGCTCCCTTTGGATAATATTAATTTACGAGACATGCAGGATTCTGGATTCATTAAACAGAAAAAAATGTTTGCCTTATTCAGTCCTGATTCAAGGTGGGCTTTTTAGGGATAATCTCCCATGGTTCTGTAAACACATAGCATTATTACATACACTGCCCAACTGCCACCCAGTCCTTGACAGTTCTGTTTCCTATGTGTTGTCATGTACCTATATAAACTTGTTTCCTTGTTATTTCTACATCCTTTTTACCAATTGTTGTTGTTGTTGTGTTCCAGTATTAGTTAGCACGAAAAATCTGTTTGCAGTTTTATAACTGATAGACTTGTTCCATACTATTTTGAAATTCTCTGTAATGTGAAAAGAGAGAAAGTTATCAGACTGCATTCATATTTTATAAGGAATTTATATCAACACACAGGCTTGGAGTAAGTTGTCGTTGTGATCTAAGATTTAGAGACAAAAAGGTAATGTATAAAACATATATCGCTCCTAAATCTCCAAAATTAGTTATTATCACAATATAATTGTTTTGATGATCAACAGGAAAAAGAGAAAAGATTTATGTTGCCTTTGGATGGGTTAAAGTTAAGTGATCCGGATAGCAGCGGGCTGTTCTCCAAGAAACATTTGTTCTATATATTTAACCCTGATACAAGGTAAGATGAGTGAAATATAGCAGTGATATATAATATATATAGTCACTGTTGCTGTGTATAATGATGGTACATCATACATTTGCTGTGGTAAGGCATGTTAAGTAGTGTGTCTACTTTGGTGTTAGCTTAAGGTAACTTTTTAGCTCACCTGTCACAAAGTGACAGGGTGAGCTTTTGTGATCGCTTTTCGTCCGGCGTCCGTAAACTTTTACTTTAAATGACATCTCCTTATAAACCACTAAGCCAATTTCATCCAAACTTCACAGGAATGTTCCTTTGGTGGTCACCTTTGAAATTTGTTCAAAAAATTTAATTCCATGCAGAACTCTGGTCGCCATGGCAACCAAAAGAAAAAACTTTAAATATCTTCTTCTAAAAAACCCAAAGAGCTAGAGCTTATATATTTGGCATGAAACATCTTCTAGTGAGTGTCTACCAAGTTTGTTCAAATAAAAGCCCTGGGGTCAAAATTGGCCCCGCCCCAGGGGGTCATTGATTTTCCCTATATGCATATAGTAAAAACTTAAAAAATCTTCTTTTAAAGAACCCAAAGAGCTAGAGCTAAGAAATTTAGCATGAAACATCTTCTAATGGGTGTCTACCAAGTTTGTTCAAATAAAAGCCCTGAGGTCATAATTGGCCCCGCCCCGGGGGTCATTGATTTTCCCTATATGCATATAGTAATAACTTAAAAAATCTTCTTTTAAAGAACCCATAGAGCTAGAGCTAAGATATTTAGCATGAAACATGTTCTAATGGATGTCTACCAAGTTTGTTCAAATAAGAGCCCTGGGGTCAAAATTGGCCCCGCCCTGGGGGTCATTGATTTTCCTTATATGTGTGTATAGCAAAAACTTAAAAAATCTTCTTTGAAAAAACCCAAATAGCTAGAGTTTAGATACTAAGCATGAAACATCTTCTAGTGAGTGTCTACCAAGTTTGTTCAAATAAAAGCCTTAAGTCAAAATTGGCCCCGCCCCGGGGGTCATTCATTTTCCTTATATGTGTATAACAAAAACTTTAAAAAATCTTTTTTGAAAAAACTCAAATAGCTAGAGTTTAGATATTAAGCACGAAGCATCTTCTACTGAGTGTCTACAAAGTTTGTTCAAATAAAAGCCCTGGGGTCAAAATTGGCCCCGCCCCAGGGGACATTGATTTTCCTTATATGTGTATAGCAAAAACTTAAAAAACTTCTATGAAAAAACCCATAGAGCTAGAGCTTAGATATTTAGCATGAAACATGTTCTAATGGATGTCTACCAAGTTTGTTCAAATAAGAGCCCTGGGGTCAAAATTGGCCCCGCCCTGGGGGTCATTGATTTTCCTTATATGTGTGTATAGCAAAAACTTAAAAAATCTTCTTTGAAAAAACCCAAATAGCTAGAGTTTAGATACTAAGCATGAAACATCTTCTAGTGAGTGTCTACCAAGTTTGTTCAAATAAAAGCCTTGGGGTCAAAATTGGCCCCGCCCCGGGGGTCATTCATTTTCCTTATATGTGTATAACAAAAACTTAAAAAATCTTTTTTGAAAAAACTCAAATAGCTAGAGTTTAGATATTAAGCACGAAGCATCTTCTAGTGAGTGTCTACAAAGTTTGTTCAAATAAAAGCCCTGGGGTCAAAATTGGCCCCGCCCCAGGGGACATTGATTTTCCTTATATGTGTATAGCAAAAACTTAAAAATCTTCTTTGAAAAAACCCAAATAGCTAGAGTTTAGATATTAAGCATGAAACATCTTCTAGTAAGTCAAAATTGGCCCCACCCTGGGGGTCATTGATTTTCCTTATATGTGTATAGCAAAAACTTAAAAATCTTCTTCAAAAAATCCGAATAACTAGAGTTCAGATATTAAGCATGAAACATTTTCTAGTAAGTGTCTACAAAGATTGTTCAAATAAAAGCCCTTGGGGTTCAAACTGGCCCTGCCCCAGGTGTGTCATTGTTTTTAAATATATGTGTAAAGAAAAACCTTGACCAGCTAGACCTTAGATGTTTAGCATGAAACATCTTCTAATGGGTCTCTACCAAGTTTGTTCAAATAAAAGCCCTGGGGTTTAAACTGGCCCCGCTACGGGGGCCTATATACAGGTGAGCGACTTCAGGGCCATCATGGCCCTTTGTTATTTGTAGTGGTTTGAGTTGACTGACTTGATTCTGATGAACTAATCTCTACAAGTTTATCTTAACTGCTCAATAAATAATTATGTTTTTACAAGTTGATAATACTGCACGTTTGTAATGTCACTTTTCATTGGATAAACGTGACATTTATATTTCTGCTGTGAAATTGTCAAGCAAACTCATGATCTGAAAAGGGAAGTTTGCTGTATTGTAAGTTTGTTAAAAAGATTCTTGACGGGTTACAATATAACCCTCACCTAGCAGCTCAGGATATATTTGTATAGGGCCATATAAAGTGCCAGCAATCTTTGTTATCTTTGTTACTAATAATACATTAGTAAAACCCAATCAAAAAATAAAAAATAACCACTGGGGAGTACAAGGTCACAGCTTTGTGTGGCCATATCATATAAGGTAGTATAAAGTCAAAGCTTTTGGCTTAGAAATATCACAAAATTAGCAAATACAAAGTCACAGCCAGGTCTTCTGGTGTTAGCATTTTATTGAGTTTTAACTTGTTATTTTGTTTGTTAACAAACTTTTTTTCTGTACAGTTTCAATTCTCTACAATGTCTTATTATGAAACATTGAAGATAGATAAGTTGGGAAATAATTATGTTTTATTTAGAATTTTATGGACTTTGTTACAATGCATCACTTGTTTTCTTAATCATTTGTTTTTGGTTACATATAAACTAATGAAATATATACATCCATTCTTAACCCATTACTTCATGAGCATTTTGTGAAAAATGGCTGTTTTCATTGAAAAGTCTCCCGTTACAAGTTCAAATTGCTATAATACTATAAAAACTGCTTCAACACTAATCAAACTTGGCACAAATGTTGACTGGACCATTGCCCTTGCAACAACATGCTCAGGCTTAAATTTCCTGTTACCACGGCAACGAGGGGACATCTCAAAATTGCCAAAAATCACTATTTTGCGTTGATTTTTTCCATCATAATTGATTTCAAAGTGCTGCAACTTCTCAATGGATTGAGATAGAGTCAAATGCATTTCAGCGTTGGTTACACGTTACCTTATGATCAATCTGGGGTCATTTATAGCCTCTCACAAGTCCAAAATTTTCTTGGCGATGAGGGGGACTCCGCCCCCATTCAAACCCCCCAAACAGAAGGGGGCACATCCCCCTTCTGGCAACCCCCTGATGTATCTTTTGGTTGGGGGGCCGCGCCGAAAAAGTGGTCACTTTTTTAAACAACATTTCTCAAACAAAAACAAGTGTTAAGGGCCAAAATAATGCATTTTTTCACCATTTGAGACAACAAAAAGGGGGGGGGGGTGAAAAAGGCGTTAAAAGGCGTGTATATGAAGTAATGGGTTAAAACACACTTGAGTAATATTCATCATGGAGTGTAAGTTAAAACTTTGAAGTTAAATGAAAACAGCACAAAGTCAATTTTAGTGACAGATATTTTATGTTTTTCTTAGTTCATCTAATCCAAGGTAAGCATGTAACATTGTTCATTACAATTGACTGAAAAACAGTTTACTTTTGACTTATTTGCTAGAAATTTTGTTTGTTTTTCAAGGGTTGTTAAGAAAGTAATAGGACAGCGGGCTTACTGTTCGCCGTACATGAAAATATTTCAGCTCTATTACTTTTTTAACAACCCTCATATCTACCTTAAAGAAGGACTCTTAAAATTGATGGTTAATTATCCCCCGCCGATGGAATCGGGAGGGGGATATAGTTTTGGCGTTGTCCGTCCATCCTTCCGTCCATCCGTCCGTCCGAATTTCGTTTCCAGAGAAGTTCTCTGCAACTACTGGCTGGAATTCAACGAAACTTTATGGGAATCATCAATATCAAGAGGAGATGCGCATATCGTCGGCTTGTTCCGGTCTGACCCTTTAACTCAGAGTTATGGCCACTGATTAGTTATGTAGTATGCATATAGAGTAAAAATCGTTTCCGGAGTAGTTCTCTGCAACTACTGGCTGGAATTCAACCAAACTTTATGGGAATCATCAATATCAAGAGGAGATGCGCATATCGTCGGCTTGTTCCGGTCCGACCCTTTAACTCAGAGTTATGGCCCTTGATTAGTTATGTAGTATGCATATAGAGTAAAAATAATTTACAGAGAAGTTCTCTGCAACTACTGGCTGGAATTCAAAGAAACTTTATGGGAATCATCAATATCAAGAGGAGATGCGCATATCGTCGGCTTGTTCGGGTCAGACACTTTATCTCAGAGTTATGGCCCTTGATTAGTTATGTAGTATGCATATAGAGTAAAAATCGTTTCGGCACTACTTCTCTGCAACTACTGGCTGGAATTCAACGAAACTTTATGGGAATCCTCAATACCAAGAGGAGATGCGCATATCGTCGGCTTGTTCCGGTCAGACACTTTAACTCAGAGTTATGGCCCTTGATTAGTGATGCAGTATGCATATGGAGTAAAAATCGTTTCCGCGCTACTTCTCTGCAACTACTGGCTGGAATTCAACGAAACTTCATGGGAACCTTCAATACCAAGAGGAGATGCGCATATCGTTGGCTTGATCGGGTCAGACACTTTAACTCAGAGTTATGGCCCTTGATTAGTTATGCAATATGCATATGGAGTAAAAATCGTTTCCGGAGTAGTTCTCTGCAACTTGTGGCTGGAATTAAACGAAACTTTATGGGAATCATCAATATCAAGAGGAGATGCGCATATCGTCGTCTTGTTCCGGTCAGACCCTTTAACTCAGAGTTATGGCCCTTGATTAGTTATGTAGTATGCATAGAGTAAAAATCGTTTCCGCACTACTTCTCTGCAACTACTGGCTGAAATTCAACGAAACTTTATTGGAACCTTCAATACCAAGAGAGATGCGCATATCGTCGGCTTGTTCTGGTCAGACACTTTAACTCAGAGTTATGGCCCTTGATTAGTTATGCAGTATCCATATAGAAAAATATTTGTTTCCTCGCTACTTCTCTGCTACTACTGGCTGGAATTCAATGAAACTTTATGGGATACTAAGAGGAGATGTGTATATAGTCGTTGTTCCAGTCAGATACTTATAACTCAGATTTATGGCCCTTGATTAGTTATGTAGTATGCATACATCTCATTGGCATTTCCAGATTTTACTATTTAACACAAAGTTATGGCTCTGTTATTGCCCTGAATATTTATCAAGTTCATAGAATATTACTGTTTATGCCATGATTAATATATAAATAAAGCCTTATGTCTTAAGTTGTTGTGTTAATAATAACCAGTACTCGGCGGGGGATATAAATTCAACAAATTTGCTTGTTAAGTTATAAATTGAGGTTTTGTTGTCTTATTTATACTTCTTTATTTTCCACTTTTCAGCAATTACAACATGTAATATATACAAATGATAAACATAATTATGATACATGATTTTAACAGATATAGATATTCTCATTTAATTATAGTGTTTATTTTATACTTTATCACTGCAAAAACAGTAAAACATGTTTGTGTACCTGTTTTTTATGTTCCAATATGATGCCATATTTCCTGCAAATTAAATGTTTATATGTAGATTTATCCTCAGTATTTAACCTGGGTTTAAGAATGAGATTTTTATTTAATATATCTAGTACATTTGAATAAACATTCTAGTATACATACATTTTAGTACAGAAATTTTGTGATTTCTATGTCATTTTTCACTTTGAGATAGTGTTAAATAAAGTGTTAAATAAAGTGCAGATAGTTAATAATCCGATAATCATAATTCATAACATGACAGTATTTGAAATATTCTCAGTTTTTCAGTAAAGTTTATTTATTTACACATTTCTGTTCACAAATTTCATGATTTTATATTGATAAAGTTGAAATTTTGGTTATAGGAATGTATACAAAGATTATAAACAGTTGGAATTGTCAGCTGACAGTCAGGAAGAGGTAGATAGTTGGAAAGCCTCGTTCCTTCGTGCTGGTGTTTACCCAGACAGATCTCAGGATAATCAAGAATCTGTAAGTCTACTATAATCACAGGAAGTGGACGACAGTGAGTTTGGGGGGGGGGGGGATAGTGAGTCCTTATATGTCGGGAATCAATTCTGTCACATTGATAATTCTACTTAAACTTCCCTCTTGTAGCTGAAATATTACCAGTAAACTGACAGATGTAAATTACTCATCCATGTGTTTTAAATAGCTTTAGTATGTGTTGGAATATGCTTTGATCGTAATCACTCAAATTGTCGTTGTAGTAATTGAACATGAACATTACGAAAAAGTTTTATTTAAGAGTTTGGGGACCCAGAGTTGCATGATAATCACATTAGATATATTTTCTATAAGCTGATTAAATTATCGCTGTAATACCATTAGTAACACCTTTTGAAACTCACTTAAAACCGTTGGTGGCTCAAAATTTTGTCATTAAATTGAGACAGATACACAAGTTGGGAGTCCTAAATGGCTGATGTCTCAAACATTTTACTCAAGTCCCTTCAAACTACTGAATTTCTACAATAAAGTATCAGATATTTATGATGAATTTTGTCAAATTAGTTTCATACATTATATGTCTAATAAACGTATTGCTAATTTATATATATTAATGATAAAACTTGTAATGTACTATATCAGATATTTATGAACACTATAAAAGATTTGACTATAATTATGTTTACGGGATATAAGACACATGTAAGACATTTATATATAGTACATCAGGTATAATAATATGAATATTTCAGGGAAAGGATGATCTAGGTTCAATGGATCCACAGTTAGAAAGACAGGTGGAAACTATACGCAATCTGGTAGACTCGTACACTAAAATAGTCAACAAGACTCAACGAGACCTTGTTCCAAAAACACTCATGCATCTCGTTGTTAACTATGTAAGTTAGATCTGTTTATCCATATAAATTTAACCGCCTCCGTGGTCGAGGGGTTAGAGTCGATGACTTCTAATCCAGTTACCTCTCTGGCGTGGGTTCGATCCCCGGGAGATGCTTTGGTAGTTTAGCGTGGAGGAAGGTAGTCTAGTACTGGTGTAACTCTCCAGGAACGATGGTTAGGAAACTACCCGCCTATATGACTGAAATACTGTTGGGAAAAGGCGTAAAATGAAACAAACAAACAAATAAATTTAAAGCTGAAGCACATAAAGCAGTGGTATGTGATACATTGAGTGTTCCACACCTTATACTACCTAATATCAGTTTTGTGATGTTTTGATGATTTCATAAGTGGCTGAATGTATATTTCTAGTTAGAAGATTCAGTTCAATATTAGAGCTAGCTGCATTTGGGGTAGAAAAATTGAATTGCTGAAAGGATGAAAATTAATTTGATTAAGTAGATGGCTTTGTAAGATATTTTTCTGAAGAAAAACCAGAGCAATTGCCATGACCCACTTAACAAATTTTAAGTGATCTCCACTTTTATCAAATGGGAGTAATATTTTATGACAGGTTAAAGAGTTCATAGGAGGAGAGTTGCTGGCACATCTGTACTCAACGACTGACCAGAACTCGTTGATGGAGGAGTCAGTAGAGGAGTCTGCTCGACGTGAGGAACTATTACGTATGTATCACACAACAAAAGAGGCTCTACAGATTATTGGTGATGTGTCAGTGTCGACTGTATCTACACCTGTACCACCACCTGTTGACAATGAATGGTTAGAGCCGAGTCAAGGACAGAATGGTGGAGGAGGGTACGCAGGGTATGTATCTTTTGAAATTTGATTTAAAAAATAACTTAATTCTCCCAGAGATGGAATTTAACCAAGAAAATAATATAAAAACCTATTGATTTGAACTTGTCATGCATGCATAAAGATCGTTACATTTTATTCAAATTGATTGTGGAAGATATGCACAAATAAATGCAGTGCTTGACATTTACAAATTGACTTTCTATCTATGAATTTGACAGATTTTTTTATGTTTATAAATAAATATAAGCAATGTACATAAACTGTACAATTCAACCAATTCAATTATTTAGATTTTTCATGCAGACTTTATCTTCAATAAATTGTTGTATATAATATTACATGGTACTTTCGTGATAATCTTCAAATAAGTGTAATAATGTAATAATTCATTATTTTCAATTAATTTATACATGTAATTATGTATATTTCAGTCGTCCATCTTCTCCAAAACCGGGTCGAGCACCTCCACCCCCACTTCCAAACAGACCAGGTGGGTCAGCTCCAGGGGTTATGCCCTCAATACCTAATAGACCAGCTCCTGGTGTCCCGTCTCGTCCAGCACCTGGTGCCCCAGGACCAGCCATTCCTTCGTAAGTTCACGTTTATTATTATATAATACTTGCAATTGACACAGTCTGTATTGTTCTGATTTCTGTAATTACTTTTGTTTGTTTTAGTTATTTCCAGTTTGAATTGTTATGTATTACATTACATTAACTCGAAGTTTCCAGTTTTATTTGCAGACTAAAATGATGGTTTGACGTATGATCAACCATTTTATTTTCTTCTTTTATTTATGATTATGATAAGTTATGTTACTGAGTGTACTGCTAGAATGATGAATGTAGACCTATAGTAGATCTGTTATCTATGGTGAAGTATGATGTTTATTGATCGTGCACTGCTATTATGTTATTTAAATCCTGCACTTATTTCATTGTTATATTATTGGAAATGTTTGATTTCTTTTATATAAACTGTGTTATGTATTGCTTATTTACCTGAAATGATTTTTTTGCATCTAAATAGTCAAATATGTCTTGCTTGTTGAGTAAATGCTGATATTTTTGTGAAATATTAATGTTTTATTGCAATGTAGTAGATTAATTTACTTTTACCTTATTGCCTATATAAGAGCCAATATTGCCATTGTAAGGGCAGATAATGCCTAGGTAAGAGCCAACATTGCCATTGTAAGGGCAGATAATGCCTAGGTAAGAGCCAACATTGCCATTGTAAGGGTCGATAATGCCTATGTTAGAGCCAATATTGCCATTGTAAGGGCCAATAATCCTATGTAAGAGCCAATATTGCCATTGTAAGGGCCAATAATCCTATGTAAGAGCCAATATTGCCATTGTAAGGGCCGATAATGCTCTTATAAGAGCCGGTATTGTCATTGTAAGGGTCGTTAATGCCTATGTAAGAGCCAATATTGCCATTGTAAGGGCCGATAATGCCCTTTTAAGAGCCGTTATTGTCATTGTAAGAGCAGATATATTGCCCTTGTAAGAGCCAATATTGCCATTGTAAGAGTAGATATTGATATTGTCCTCGTAAGATATTGTAATTTTGCTAGAAATGTTATTTTGCTGGATGAATTTAGTTGATCTATATTTTTGTTAAATGTTTATTAAGAAGGATCCTAGATGATGGGAGAGGGTTACAACAGATAGGTTTAATGGGGAAATATTTAATTTAAGACGATTCTTTCTAATTTGGTTACTCTTTGACTTTTAAATAGGCTGTTAAAATACCAGCATTTACTATAGAAGCAGCATTTATGTGATAAATGATATATTTGATTGTGTGGAGCATATATTTGATTGTGTGGAGCAATATTTGATTGTGTGGAGCATATATTTGATTGTGTGGAGCATATATTTGATTGTGTGGAGCATATATTTGATTGTGTGAAGCATATATTTGATTGTGTGGAGCAATATTTGATTGTGTGGCGCATATATTTGATTGTGTGGCGCATATATTTGATTGTGTGGCGCATATATTTGATTGTGTGGAGCATATATTTGATTGTGTGGAGCAGCATATATTTGATTGTGTGGAGCAATATTTGATTGTGTGGAGCATATATTTGATTGTGTGGAGCATATATTTGATTGTGTGGAGCATATATTTGATTGTGTGGAGCATATATTTGATTGTGTGGAGCATATATTTGATTGTGTGGAGAAATATTTGATTGTGTGGAGCATATATTTGATTGTGTGGAGCAATATTTGATTGTGTGGAGCAATATTTGATTGTGTGGAGCATATATTTGATTGTGTGGAGCATGATGGATGTTCTGTTGTTATAATGATCACATGTAATATCATGCTGAAGGTAGACATGTCTGATTACTATATCCCTACATTTACATATGACACTCATCTTAGAATTAAACATTAGCAGAAAGTGTCCATATTTTTGAAGCCTGTTCACATGTTCATTATACTGTTTTGAATTGAAGACTAGGTAGGTTGAATAAAGTGTTTGTTTCTGGAAACGTAATGGAATAATGCTTCTTCATATCATAGTCCAGGAAATAGACTAGATGACACTGATACTGGTTAATTTAGAGAAAGTTGACTAGATGACACTGGGGCTAGACATGGACTAGATGATACCAGTACTGGTTAACTAGATGACACCATTACTAGTTTGTCCAGGAAGTGGACCAGATGACACTAGCACTGGTTAACTGTTAGTCCAGGAAGTGGACTAGATGACACTAGCACTGGTTAACTGTTAGTCCAGGAAGTGGACTAGATGACACTAGCACTGGTTAACTGTTAGTCCAGGAAGTGGACCAGATGAAACAGCACTGGTTAACTGTTAGTCCAGGAAACAGTGGACCAGATGACACTACACTGGTTAACTGTTAGTCCAGGAAGTGGACCAGATGACACTAGCACTGGTTAACTGTTAGTCCCAGGAAAGTGGATCAGATGAAACTAGCACTGGTTAACTGTTAGTCCAGGAAGTGGACCAGATGACACTAGCACTGGTTAACTGTTAGTCCAGGAAGTGGACCAGATGACACTAGCACTGGTTAACTGTTAGTCCAGGAAGTGGACCAGATGACACTAGCACTGGTTAACTGTTAGTCCAGGAAGTGGACCCCAGATGACACTGCATGGTTAACTGTTAGTTCCCGGGAAGTGGTGTGACCTGCATGGTTAATGTTAGTCCCGGAAGTGGATAGAGACATACAGGTTAATTTAGTCCGGGAAATGTTAGAAATTTTTGCCAAGATAAAAATTTTTTAAAAAATATGACAAAATTAAGATGAAAAATAAAATTCTGTAAACTTCAAAATAAAAATTGTGCATTAACAAAATCGTCTAAATTTTTTTAAATATGATTTTTGGTTAATGTTGTATCATAAGTTTCAATGGTTAAAAAAAAGTGCTTTTTGGGGTTTTATGCGGGCACAAAATTTTGTAAAAGGTTGTGCATATCAATCCAAAATTTCATTAAAGGAAAAGCTATTTTTTTTAGTTTTCAAAAAAAATTTATTTTTTTTTTACAATGTAAGAAAAAAAACACAAGGATTTCCGCTTCTGTAATGCCTGCTTGGTATTTAGAGTTTCCTCTGGGAGAAAAAAAAATCCCCATTTATATTTTCTGTAGAACTTAATGTCCAAAATCTCCCCAAATATTTGAGTAAGTAAAGCTCAAATGAAAACCTAAAAATTGTCATTTGCCATTACTAACATACAAGTTGAAGATATATGCATAAACATCAAGCACAGATTGTGTTATAAAGCATGCTGGATGTTGTATTGTTGTTTATATAGGATGATGAATACTGCCTCAAAGTTTGGTTCTGTTGGAAGGTATTTTTCTACTTCTTATCTCTTCTGCCTCCTGTTTGTTTCTGGTTTTGGGTTTATGTTTAATAGAGCCAGGTCCCAAGGTTAGAAAACATGAAAATTGAGTAAAAATCTGATGTCATTTGCATACCAGCTAGTCAAAACATACCTCATTTTAGTTTATACAAATTTATTTTAGTTTGATTGTGTTGGAAGCTATAAGCTTATTGAAACTGATGAGCATGGAATTGAAATATTTACTGCACTAAATTCTATCCATAGTCAGTGTTTTGTAACCTTGGAACATAAATATAGTACACTATTTCTGTAGGTTTAATGAGGGTTAGAAAAGAACTGTGTGTTTTATATTTTACAGGATTTCATTACTATCAGACTTAATGGACTTTTCTGTAATAGAAATATGTAATCAAGACTTATGTTCTTTTCTTTTAATTGCTTTAAAACTTCCTATTTCTATTTTTATATTGTTCTCAGAATTTTAAACTATCAAAGAGCTTCAATTTTGTCTTCTTGCTTTTAGTCTCAAATTACTTCAGTAAATAAAATAAATGCTTTAAGCTTCTTTTTGGTTCTGAATAAAAATATGATTATACTAGAAGTCACAGCTCATTGATAATTATGATATTTGACAATAAAACAGTCTCCTGGTTCTGATTAGTGTAACTTGTCATATATGACATTATCTATTTTAACATTGAGAAAGGTACCAAATTCAACAAATGTTTAAGTGAAATGCAAAATATGTTTACCCAAAAACATCACTGCAGTTACAGTGTCAGAGTTGTAAAGTATTAAGGTTGTAGACTTGTAATGTCCATCTCACCACTACGTAACAGTCTTTATCATACAAGATATCATATATTCATGTTAAAATAAGACAGACTGGTTATTTTACTTAGGTGCCTGGTGCCCTATATTGTTGATGTGACTTAAATTGGAAACTAAACCTCCAATTATTATGCTATAATAAACATTTAAGATTTCTTTGTTAAATGCATGATATGTATCACTTAAATCAAGATCTATTAGAGTAAGTAGTGTTACTATATTGTATGTCTGTATGATAATTTTGTGTGGAAATTGCTCTTTATGTGTTATGTTTGCATGCTGTGTGTAAATGGTTTGTTTACTAATATTTAAATCTTCTGCCTTGCTTTGTGTATGGAATGACTAATGTATTCCAGGAAGAATCATTTTATGATTTGACATGTATTTTTCTTTGCTAGATATACGGAATATTAGCTTTCTGGGGCTTTGTATTTTGCCACGAGCAGCAGTGGAAAATTGATATCATGCGAGACTGAAGGTCGAGCGAGTTATCAATTTTCCAACGTTCCTAGTAGAAAAATACATAGTCTCAGAAAGCTACTAAAACATAATTTTCCTTTTATTATATACCGTTTCGTTTTATTCAGAAAATGAAATGTAGTTGTCAAGGAATAAATTCATGACTGACGGATGAATACGTAATTCTTGAAAACCGGCCACGCCTTTAATAAAATTATGGTTCCCGTTTCCAAATGCAACATTATACCAAGCTAAGATCAGAACCAACGTCAAAAATAGTCCGTCACTTCCATATATGGTACCGTATTTGTCACTAACATAATACGGAAATTTCTGTCCGATGAAACGTATTTGCGCTTCAGTATTTTGGTATTTTAGGGAGAAAATTTAAACTTTAAGGTATATAATAAATTATGTTATTGCCACGTTATTTAAAATATTATACTGCCACTTTACTTAAAATATTACACTTTTCGTCATTTTGTTTTTTATATTGCATAAATTTAATTCCTGGCAGATCCTGTATTAATGAATATAGAACAGTTAAGTGGTGATAGGGACTTGCATGTTACCAAGAGACAGACAAGGTTACATATCTGTGACTTGTACCTGCTTGCCTTGTTCCTAAAACTACATTACATAATACATTGTATAATTATTTTAGAACAGGATTTATAATACAGGTATTTACTCTGTATGAAGGTTTATGTCTTTTGAGACAGTTTGTGAATAAAATACATAATATATGGTACATTGGTTATTGTAGTTTTAAACAAGTTTATGATGTTATCAATGTATTATGCAATGTTTTGTGTAAGCACTCCAGTTTCACATTAAGGATTTATATCCATTGACAAGGTTGTATAATAAACTTTACTCTAAACTCCTTCATGAAAAAAGTGAATGAGGACAACAATCTAATGATATCTTTTAGTTTACTGCTATAAAGGCAAGACTTACTTGAAATAAAACAGTTCGTATGTTGTGATTTCATGAAATAAAATGTTTAGTATGTTATGATTTCAGAAGAGGAGGCCCTCCACAGCCGGCCAATGCTCCAAGAATTCCAGATAGACCCTCGATACCAGCACGCCCAAACTAGAGTAGCTAGCTACTGCAAGCAGGTTATTATTGTTGTAAGAAAGGGATGAAAATTGCATTGAGTTAACATGTATAATGTGTGATACTACAAGAGCCGCTTCATGCAGAATAACACATGATAAAACATTATAGACAATAGATAAACCAATGTTATTAACAGTTCTCAGTATGTTTAACAAGTTTGTGTTGTTAGTGACCGACACTTTTATTGTAAGAAATATTTCTGTCGGGGGGAAATAGTGAGCTTTATTATTTGCAAGTATGTATGGATACTATAGAACTACATGTAGGTAAATGAATTGGTTTTTAAAATGTTATAGAGATTTTTTAGGAAACCTTTTTATAAGAATTTTTCATTTATATTAGGCAGAATTAGAAATGGAAAAAATGGATATGTGCAATTGACAAATGATGATAAATAGAAGGATTTCTTTAGACAACTAATATACTTATTACATGTAGAAATGTATGTTTACAGTTATCACCTGGGTAACTTGACGCAAAGACATAGAAATACATAAAACATTCTTGGAAAGAGTATTTGTAATATGTTATGTTTGTAAAGAAAAGATGGTTCTGCATAAAGTGCTCTCCAAAAGTTGCTCTTTTCAAGAAAACTATTTCTTTTTTTATGTATTAATTTGATAGTTAAAACAAATGAAAACAGAATTTAACCCTTTCTATTCTAACTGGTCAAGGAGCGATGGACAAGAAAGTAATATGTGAAGGATTCTTTGGAGAGCAGTGTACATGCAGGCTTATAATGGGATTTCAGTCTTAAAATTAATCATACTATACATGTATTATCATTTTAATGAGGCAAATTTTTGTAAAATTTGTCTGGGATCAATATTGTATTGTCTTCAAATTTATCACAACTTCACTGATTTTGGTCATATAGTTATTAGGCTGACATGTTCAAGTCTCATAAAATGATTTGGGTGTTTAATTTCTTGTTGTCAATAATAAAAATGAGAGGACTGTAGTGTTCAAACTATTCTGACTGAACTTGATAACATTCAACTGTATAGTTTTATAAAAAAATAACAATCATCAAATGCCCGAGTGTGTTTCAGTTTGATATCCAGTGTCAGATGCTGAAAACTAACCAAAGCTCGAGTTTCGTGTGGTGACTGGTCACCCTGTATAGTAGTTATATTACCTTTAGGTCTGGTTTGTTTTTCCATGAATTGAGGAGTTGATTAACATAGAATTGGTGTTTTGAAGCACCTGAATTATCTAGTGTTAATTGTTATCAAGTTCTGTCGGGAGTTAATTTTAATAAAAATGATATGCAATGTGTAGACTATCGTAAATCTGTGATTTCTTTCTTCCTTTATTTGTACATATATACAGTCTGTAGTAGATTGTTTTGTATAATTATCATTAACATAAATATAAACATGCACTATATATTGTCATATTGTAACATAGAGAGAAGATTGTCACTTGTTTTATTAGTCAGATACTCACCAATTATGTCTGGATTTTTTTATTTTTAACAACTTTGTAATAAATTTTTTCATTGAAAATTAGAAAAAGGGTTACTTTATAAAAATTGTGAACATGTTTAAACAAAGAAAATTTTTAAAAGAAAAATGTATACTTTTAATGTTTTTAAATTTCCCTTTTCTTGAATTTTTTAAACTTTTTAGAAGGAAAAAACATTTTAATAAAATAAAAGTTATAGGGGTATTTTTTTGGAAAAAGTAAAAAATGTATTTCATATGTAAAAATTTTTTTTCTTTAACTTTTTTGGGGAAAGGAAGGTTTTTCTTTTTGTGCAAGAAACATAAGGGGGTTACTTTATTGGGTGGGTTTCCCCTTTTAAAAACCCAACATTCATTCACAATTTCAAGCAAAATTTAAATTAATTGATAAAATTTTTTTAAAAACAAAAATTAATGCCCCATCCTTAGAAAAAAAACAGGAAAGGGAATTTAAAAACTAAAATTATAAAATGTAAAACTTTTGACAAAGGGTTTAATATATTTTTGTGTATAGATATTAAATCAAAAAAATTTAAATTTGTATAGTGATATATATAGACACCAATGGTTATTGTATAGATAATACAAATTGTTAGTGAACATAATTTAGGGCAATTAGCTAAATAGATTTATCTCGAGTTCTAGTTAGAATCATTTTACTCCAATTTGTCAAAATATGTCATTTCTTATAATCTTTACTCTACCTAACTTTCTATTTTTATTTATAATTTGAATAATATATATTTATTTTTTCCCAAGTTTGGTGTTTGTGTTTTTTTTTTCCCGGAAATTTTCTTTTCTTTATTTTTTTGTTGTTATATCATTGACATGTAATAAATGAATTTATATAATGTAATTATAAGTTTTTGCTCTATGACCTAGGGTACAAATCTGAAGGTTAATAGATTGCTGTACCTCATTACACACAGTGTTCATTACTTTATATTCTAGCTGTATATAAACACAATACTTCACATCAAATATAGCTGAAAGATTAAAGAAATATGTTTCTTGACAATCTTAAAATCTGAATCAAAGCTATAAAATGGTTTGTGTTTTGTTTTCATAATAATCTGGCAACTCACAAACCTCACTTTTTAAAGTTTTTCGAAATTTAACTTGAGGAATGAAGTACTTGCTCTGAATTTTCTGGTAGAATCAAATAAAAAAAACAACAAAGATATGATATGGTTTTTTTAAGTTTATTTATAATGTTTATATGAACACTAAATGTGCAATATTTTATGATTTTAATTAATACTAACATTAATTCAAACAGAATGTTTTACTTTTGTGAATTTGTTTGTGTAAAGTGAATATTCTCAAGTGGAGTTTTATGGTGAAAGAAAGTAAAGATGGAAAGTACATGGATGACCTATGCATTAGTTTTGATTAAGATGAAGACAAAAGCATTTCACCCCATGTTCCAACCATTACCTGAAATAATGTGACTTTCTCTGCTCCACTTACATTACTATATCACATGACAGTCACCATTTAACATTAAACCAATGTGATTATAGATGACATAATAATTTCATGTTAAATTGTAGTTTTAAGTATTTCAATTTATAAAATTAAAGGTGATCTGTGGTATACTGGAATTTATATTGCAGTTTTTCCTCACAAGAAGGATCAAGCTAATCAACACAAACAACTAAGTTTAGTCCTTTATTAGGTTCAAATAGGCTGAAATTTTCTTATCTATTTTACCCAATAAAACAAATTAAGGTGTAAGTAATTCTATCTTCTTGTACTAGTATAAATGACATAGACTAAAACTTTGTAAAATTTTGTGTTTTTGCTACTAAAATACTTATAGTGTAGGTAGAAATGTAATTCTGATTTATAGTTTGATATTTTTGTTGAAATTTATGTATGTAAAATATGTCATAATTATTAAAGTCTGTAAAACATAAAATAGTTCTTGTTTGTGTTCACCATGTATATCATATAAAGCAGGAATGGAAAAATAATACATGGATAGTACAGAAGTTCTGCAGCATAGTGAAAATCTATGACCAAAACAAGATATTAATTAGTACAATAACACATACAAAACTTGGTTTTGATTATAAGTATGCACAAAACATTTGCCAAACTAGTTGTGCCAGAAGCAGATAAATATGATTCAGGTACTATTTATAAGGTAACCAACATTTATACCATGATACTTAAGTCAAGGAATTGGCATTTCCACATAAGTGATTTAAATCTTTCTGAAACTGTGTGTCCTAGAGCTTGGCATGTACTTGTACCTGGATCATAACTTTTTTATTTCTTGGGTATTGTCTTCATTCTTGGCCACAACAACCCTTGAGACAAGACCTTTAAGTAGACCACACTAACCTTGACCTTCATCCATAAATGACCTTGACCTTCAAGGTTAAAAGTCCAAATTTTGCTTGTTCATGCTGTTGCTGTAACTTTGTTATTTTTGAATGGATTGTCTTCAAACTTGAACATAATAATCTTCAAGGATATCCCTTAAAAATAACCTGACAGACCTGACATAACACTTGACCTTCACTCATAAATGACCTTGACTTTGAAGGTCAAATTATTGAAATTTTAATTTTTTTGGCTATTATTGGCTGTAACTTTGTTATTTTTGAATGGATTGTCTTCAAACTTGAACATAATAATCTTCAAGGATAACACTTAAAAATAACCAGACAGACCTTGACCTTCACTCATTAATGACCTTGACCTTTTCATTGTTTTTGCTGTAACTGGCTGTAACTTTGCTATTATTGAAGGGATCAACTTCATATTATAACAGAACATACTTAAGGACAAGACCTTGTCACCACCACATGTCACCACCACGTGACACCACCAGCACATGACTTCACCACGTGACTTCACCAAGTGACACCAGCACGTGACTCCACCACATGACACCACCACGTGACTCCACCCAAGAATCCACCACGTGACTTCACCACATGACTCCACCACGTGACTCCACCTAAGAATCCACTACGTGACTTCATCACTTGACTCCACCATGTCTTACCTCCACGTGACTCCACCAAGTGACACCACGTGTATCTATTTTTAGAATTTTCTATTTATAGAATTGCGTGTTTCTATTTATAGAATTGCGTGTTTCTATTTATATATATAATAGTACATTTATATATACAAAATATATAGACAAAACTAATGTGACAAAATAGACCGATTAATTTTATAAAAAGAAAACGTTAAGATTTTGTTCAAACATTCCTTTGTTTGCTTTTAGAGAAAGTAAAAAGTTGAGCGTTGCCCCCGCCCGGCGGTGGCTCTTGTTATTGATCAACACTAAAAAGCTTACTGGTTTAATTTTCTTTTAAGAGCTGTATTTGCTTAATAACAAAACTTTTATCTCATTTATATCATTTTGACATCTTTACCTATTGCTGGGGACTTTATAAATTACTAAAAATCATTAAATCAAACACTTCCATCACCAAACTCCCTACACAGCAATTTTGAAACATGGCAGCTGTAAAAACTTAGGTTGAAAAATGGTTTTGAACAACATTTAGACCAATAAACATATATCACCATCTCACAGGATTCTTAATGTTGTTCATATAGACTTCGTGTAGACAGACATGCTTTTAGGATTGCAGCATCTCATTCAAATGTTGTTCATTACTGAAGTGTTGTAAATGAGATGTAGAACATGGTTGCTTTATACATTATTGCCATTGTAATCTTTACATTGTATCTTACATTTAACCTGCTTGAACCAAAAATAGATATGCAAACCAGTATAGAGCCATGCCAGCCTGTACATCTGTGTAGTCTGACCAGGCCCAGTACTAGTGGTAACTAAAATTTGCTATTTTGATGATTGCCTTAAACTTTGCATAGCAAATCAATTACAAAGATTGAGCAGGTGAGGATTAATGACTGAGACAAAGTAAAAGAAATATTTATATATCTTTTTAAAGATTTATTCATCATTTAAATAATTTTACCAGAAAACATTTTTTTTGCTATTCCATGATGAAAATAAATAAAAGAAATCTTGACATGGTTTTAATTTGATGCAAATATTAAAATTTGAGTATAAATTTCACAGGGACATTTCTGCAAAAAACAACAACAACAACACTATTTTCTTCCTAGTCACTTCTTTCAAAGAGTTTTTTGTTAATATTATCCATGGACGTCTTAACATCATTCTATGACTCGTAAATAAACAAGCCTCCATGTAAATCACTATGTTAGTAAGTTCTAGTAACTTCTTCACGTGATTTTCCCGTATTTTTTGGCATTTTCTTTCCAGATCCATCTTCCAATTCTTTAGCTTTGTAGTAATGTGGGGCCACTTCCAGCAACCAACTGTTATCTATTTCTATCACCTGAATTATAACAAGAAAGTCATATTATATTATTATTGAACAAGAGCTCTTATTTTTGAAGCATTATTCACCAAAGAATTTGTGCTGTATGAAAATAAACTAACAAAATAATTAATGTACTTTTATAAGAAAATCAGATTTTATTTCAAAAGAAGTTTAAGTCTAACAGCAAATATACCCAACTTGTCTTGAGTAAGAACAATTAACATACATGTATCATAGTACCTAACAAAACTATACTGTTAACTAAATCCCTGACAACAAGGAGCAGCTCTAAATTTTAGAGACTATCATGATTTATCACATGCTTTTCGGAAGATTATAGAAATATATCAGTGATTTATAAACTGGTAATTTCTCTGTTTGAAACAGTGAAATTATCAATTTGATAATTTCACTGTTTTGAATTTAAGCCCTTTACGTTGTCTCAGTGAAATATCAGCGTGCACAGTACTGGGTACCAACTTAATGACATGACGTCGTAAATGACGTCACATTGTATTAGAATTTGGCGCGCTTTTCATTAAGTACTAGGATAAAATGTCTTTTTAAACGTTTTTTAGCATGTAATAAAAAGAAAATTTGTTTAGTTTAGTGTAAGATCAAAATATATTTCACCTATTGAACACCAAAAGTTCATATTTCACTTGTTGCTGTGCCACTCGTGAAATATACCTTTTGGTGCTCACTCGGTGAAATATATTCCGATCTTACACTGAACTTAACAAATATCCTCTATATAATGGTTATGTGATTCCTAATTATGTGATTCCTTATTATGTGATTCCTTATGTGATTCCTTATTATGTGGGTTTAAACTTAACTGTTGATGATTTATATAACATGCAAAGTTGCTAACTATCTAGGAAGGTATATACCACCTTGTGCCTATGTGTCTTAACCAAGTAAAGATATTTCATAATTCAAAATATATAACAAAAGTTAGAAAAGTGTGAACATATATATACAAGTATATTTCTCAGTATTTACCTGTCTCATAAACTCTTTTGTTGTAAAAACCAATTCATGATAAATGAGCCATTTTGGTCTGTCCTCAAACAGGGAGCTATTTGGATGAACCATCACAGTTTGGTTATGTTTCACAGTTCGATAATTACCTCCCTTGTCAAGTTTTGAAGTGTGGTAAAAGAAACCAGCAGTTATGGCCTGAAAATATATAATTGTAAAAAAATTTAAATTGATAGGAGAAAGAAACAAATAACCATTCAATGTAAGTTTCAATAGCATATTTAAAAACTTAAATGGCAAATATTTAAATTGTCTTTTAAGGACACATTCATTTTATCTTATTCTTTAAACACGACACGTCATCTGGCATTGAAAAGAATTTTAGGCAATTACATTAATTCCTGTATCAACAATATCTAACGACATAAACAGGTCATTTCTTGTAACTTACCTTTCTGATATTAACTGTGTCTAACGGATTTGATGAGACCTCAATTTCAACTCTCTCAATCAAACCTTCCAGCTGGTCACGTACATCTCTAGCACGCTTCATAGACCTGTCCAATAAATAAATAAACAAAAAGATTATCAAAAATGGCTGTTTTTCAATTTTTCTGCCCTCCATCTTTCACTCATAATTTAAAAAATGTAAGTAGAAAAGTTGACATTTAATTATAGAGAAACATGCTTGTCCTGGTACAGAATCATAGAATATTCATATAGTTATCTCCCAACAAAAAAGGGCAAAAATACAGTCAATAAATAATTAATTCTTTTTAATCCATTGAAATAGACAAACATAAACATAAAATGTTTATTATTTAAGTTTAAATTGCATTGTTTATTGATTTACAATCTTATTATTAATTCCAGACTATTGTAATATATACTTCTTGTGTTGGAAATGATAAGCCTGTGCCATTAGTAATAGAGCCATGCCAGCATCATTTCATACAGTCTAAACAGGCTCTATTGTTGGTAGCTCAATTTTTGTATTTTGGTATTGAAGACTCTTGTTTGTTTTAAATGGACTGTTTCAAAAGTGGGCAAATTAATTGTACAAATTCAGCTAGTGAAGGGTTCAGTGATTTATTTGATACATGTATATATCAAACACATTACTCACAATATTTTAAAATCAATGTAAAAGGTATGTCACCCAATTTTTATAACCTAGATATCATCTAGTTATGTCACTTACCGATATTGTATGAAATTTTCAAAGCACCATTGAGTAGAATGTCCAGTTTCCTCCCACTGATTGTAAACATTCATTAAGGTAATGTGGTCACCTCCGGGCAGGAAGAAGTTTTGACGGGCAGTGTCGGCATGTACAACTTTATCCTTTGGTCTGTAGAAGACGGAGTTGTTCACTGACAACATTGCAGTGATTGTAAGTATCTCCTTTGAGCATTTGTACCTTTAAGATACAGAGAAATTATTCTTACTATAATAGGAAGCTTAAAATAAAGTTAAAACAATTAAAGTTAAACAAAAATACAAACCAATATATCTTTTGAAAACTGTACAAATATTCTTGACATGCTACCTAAAAAAATCATCATAGGTTTCAATCTTAAATGTTTGAGCTCTTTCAAATCTATCTAAGCATGTAACAAAATCTTATTATAATGTTTACTCAAAAATAGTTTAATGAGGTCTAAATGTCTACAAACATAAAATTTGAATTTCTTATACTGATCAAGTGAGGCACTGATAACATAAATATATGTAAAAGAATTAGATAATTAAGAAATAAACTTAAAAATAAAGTGAAAATCATATTAGTATGCATTATTCTTAGCCTGATTCTCAATACTTTTCAATGTTGGGTTATTTGTAACAATTAGAGTAATTATTATGGAAAAACAAATTTGCAAATGACCTGACACTTCACACAGGAGTTATTGGTCTAGACCTACATCAAATGAAACATTAATAAAAAAACAAAAAAAATATTTCCAGTCCAGTTATGTCAAAAATGTCAATGGAGTCCCTTTAAGAAGAACAACTGATGTTACAGGAGCTACCTGGGTATCTCCCTCATATGAAAATATCCAGTTCCTGGTGGGATTCAAAACCTACACCAGGGAGGGACAAGTAGTTCAGTCAGCTTATTTAACCACTTGGCTACAGAGCCTCTTAATTATTGTAAATATTAGCTTAAAGCATTGCAATAAAATGAACTAAAATAGTAAAAATTTAAACAATAAAAACTACATGTATTAATATAACAACACTCACTTTTCTGAGGCAAGGATCATTTTTGATAGCATCGGATCAACTGGAAATTCTGCCATTCTTCTTCCAAGTTTAGTTAACTCCCCTTTATGATTTAGTGCCCCTAGGGCATATAACTGTTCTAGAGCTAACACAAGTGTTTCATGTGGAGGTGGGTCCATAAAATCAAAATGTATGAGATCATTTATTCCTAAACTTTTAAGTAACAAGACAACATTTCCAAGATTAGTTCTCTGAATTTCTGGTATTGTATTGTCTTCAAGTTCATTTTTATACGCCCATGCTGTGTAAAGACGAAAACATTTTCCAGCTGAGACACGTCCTGCACGTCCAGCTCTCTGATTTGCTGATGCCTGAAAAACAAATAATAACATCACATGACTTCTTTTACTTTAACACAGGCAGTAAAATGAAATGAGAAACAATAAAAGAACTGAAGAATAATGAACAATGAAAAGTAAAGGTTTCAAAAATATATATTCAATTTAATGTTCAACTTTTTAAAACATTTGCTTAACCTTGACTTTAGTTAATAAAAGGTCTTGAAAATAACCTTGTCAAAAAAAATAGTTTAGAGTGTATTTGCCTACAGTATACCTAATATTTAAGAAATGCCATATTCTATATTAAGAAATGACTTGGATTGACCAAAACATCTTGTTCTAATTCTCTTTATATGATATGTTAGAAGCAAAACTGGGTATGATTTCAAGTGATAAAATTTCTTAATTCTACAAAAAATAATTTGATATGGTTATAATAATAACAAAATAAAGATATGATACATGTCTACAAACAGGGTAAGTCTGACTATCAAAATTTAATGTCTATATTTCAACTTCAAACAATTCTACACAAATTTGATAAAGTAATAATAATTGAAATCTAGTTCTTATTAAAATCATTCTGTCTGAAATTTAAAAATAAAAGTAAATAATAAAATATGTTACCTTAGAAACGGGTGTGACAACCAGTGATTCCATGCCTGTTCTAGCATTATAACTATTCTGTTTACAGAATCCCGGATCTAACACATATTTTATACCATCTATAGTTAATGATGTTTCAGCAATGTTTGTAGCTAGCACAACTTTACGAGCACCTGGAGGGGTAGGATCAAATATTTTAGCTTGTAGGTCTGATGGTAGGTTTGCATAGATTGGTGCTATTATTAACTCCTTGATCTTTGATCCCAGCTTTCGAGTTCTTTCCTACAAAAAACAGATAGAAACAATCGTTATATTTCTTCAGAAGGAAAACCATAAACTAGGGTTAAGATCTTTGCCACTCAACTCAGGCAGGGATCTTAGGTTTGAGCACTATTGGGGTAACAACCATTTTTCCTCATATAACACCAGTAATGGTGAGTTCCAAGAAGCAGACTCGACAGTGGTTCAAGTTAACAACAACCTTTCTTTACAATCAAGATCAAATTAATTAAGTTTTAAATATCTTGTATATTTATGAATGATGTTTACTTACAGTTAACATTTCACTTGCTGTTTCTATTTCTTCTTGTCCAGTAAGGAACACTAGAATATCACCTTCATCTTGTGTACAATGTATCTGTAATACTGACACCACTGCTGCATCTATATAGTCAGCTTCTGGTGCCTGTAAGTATATAATAAACAGGTTCAACTGTAATCAGAAACTTGAGCCTTTTGCAAACCACAAATAACCCTATGGTCGCCAGTCAATGACACAAAAAATACAGCAATGTATAAAAAATGTGGCCTTTTTCATGTCTAAAAGTCACTGTGATCTTCACCTTAAGACTTATTGTATATACATTCTCTAGTTAAGCAATTAATCAAGATTTTTTTTCTTTTCTTTCTTTTGTTGAGTAAGGTTTTACATTGCAACAACACAGTTGATAGAGGTCATATGGCTCCTTTCCAGCTTTATTGGTGGAGGTAGACCTCAGGTTCCCCTCTTTGCATTATTCAGGCACAATCAGCACCTTAGTAGAACCATCAATGTTTCGTAAGCAAGCTGGTCAAGGTGGTTTACAGAATAACTGACATACATATTAACCTATGTACTGACTAACCCTCTATGGGTCATGAATATTTTAAATTATAGTAAACTTAATGTAGACACATATGGTAGTAACCTAAATCTATAATCACAGACTACCCTAATTATAATGCATGAACTACCTATTTCAATTATACAAACTTGCTTGTAATAGTAAAGAGAATTTTGTCCTCAGAAAATAATGTAAAACAGAAGTTTAATTTATAATTACCTTGGTGTAATAAATATCAACAGGAAATCTTCTACCTGGTATTCTAAATACTGGAGCATCATCAAAGAACTGAAATCAAATAAAAACACCATTAATATAACCACATAATGTAAATACATTGACCTATAATATATATTAGATAAAGTATAATTTTTACATCAATTCAATCAAACTGACCTTAATATGTGAAGCATGACATATGATATTAATGTCACAAAGTAAACACCTGGCCCCGTGTTCACTAAGGATCAGGATGTAATGATTCTGATGTTATTTTCATTGTTCTATAAAACTTAAATTGATCATATTTTGCTAGATTTAAATGGTACATATTCAAAATGTAAAAACATGCTGACTTGTACAAAAGCAACCCTATTTTGAGATAAAATCGATGAATAACAAAACAAATACAAAAATTATCAGATCAAAATATGCATCAATTTTAGGAGCACGATCAACATTTGCAAAAATAACAATAAATTTACATTAAAATTTCTTAAACATGCTTTTTTCAAGTCTAGTTTTATCTATTAGGATAAACAATGGAAATTTTAACCTGATCCTTAAATCTTTGTGAACATAGGGCCTGTATTTAAAACTTCTTCACATTACCAGACTAATAAACTGAAAATTTATCATATTTTTGTGTGGGAAAATTGCCCAACTTGAATGAGACAGCTAAGGTAATAGTAGCTCATTTAATCTCAAGGAATATGCCTTTCCTAGTGAATTAAACTAATATTGTAATCAAGTAGACAGCTGTTTGTGACAGAATTAAGATCAATGTTTACAACATCTGGCTAGGATGTCACAATAGGACCAGATGTCTTGTATCATTTAGAATGCAACATAATAGAATGTTAATAAAATATATGTGACAAAATATATGTGACTTTTATAAGTATAAATAATGTTACCTGTGAAAATTTTTCAGCATCTAGTGTGGCACTAGAGATAAGGAGTTTAAGATCTGGTCTAAATCTTGCAATATCTTTCACCAGTCCAAACAGAACATCTGTATGTAGAGTTCTCTCATGAGCCTCGTCTATTATCAGCACACTGTTAACAACAATATAGTAAAGTTAGATAAATAACTCTTAGACCACTGACATGTGTTAGGAAAGAAACATAATAATACATAAAACATAATAATAAATAACTGGTGCATGAGCCCCTAGTTAAAAGGCAAGCTATTTGGTTGCTTGAGGGGAGCGGTGGCCTAGTGGTTAAGGTGTCAACCCAGAGATCATTGGTTTGAGCCCTAATCGGGTCACGACCATGTTTCTTCATATGAGTAATGACAAGTTGAAAGAACTTGTTTCGCAACCAAGCTTAAATAAATATTTTGAATGTTTTAAACCAAACGATTTGTTTGGCACAAACACGCCTAATCCGGGCTACCTCCTTCATTATTGTCACAGGCTACAGTACGTTCTATGTCTCATTGGCCTCTGTACCTACTTATCAGCTCAACAGTCATCTCTTTGGTTCAATGTGGAAATTACAGAGAGGTAAATTATCATCACTTTGTGCTTCAAAATTAAACCTTTAACAGCATGACTTGTAAAATTCTGGGGAAAGCTACTTTTGTGCTTAATGACCAGATAGACCCCCATTAAACTTACGTAAGTATGTATGTCTGTATGTACATATATACATTTGCATGCTCGCACGCACACACCCATGCACACAGAGTATTGCTGATAAATTATGCTATGTTAAACTAGTGAATTAATTAATGTATAATTTTACCTATATCCCTTGAGATCTGGTTCACTAAGGAACTCTCTCAGCAACATAAATGTATTGTATAATTTTACCTGTATCCCTTGAGATCTGGTTCACTAAGAAACTCTCTCAGCAACATTATTGTATAATTTTACCTATATCCCTTGAGATCTGGTTCACTAAGGAACTCTCTCAGCAACATACCATCTGTCATATATTTTACCACAGTTCTCTCTGATGTACAATCCTCAAATCTTATACTGTATCCAACCTACAAACATTATCATTGATATTTAGATATTCAAACAAATGAATAAATTTTATATTTAGAAAAAAGTAATAAACTTGTTATACATTTTCATCGTAAAATTAGTGCATGGGTACATAAATGTAAATGTGTCAAAATAGAACAAGGAGCCGATTAAACCATGACAAAAAGGATTATTTAATAAATTTAATTAGTGAAACATAAAATATGTTGAGGACAGATCTAAATGTAGGATGTAGGATATTATAATTACACATTGTCGAAAATTCCACTCATGAAGGTGATGAAATGTTCTATATAGGATCACATTTGAAAGATCATAACCATATATAGAGGATATTAAATGAGTGTAAGTTCAATACTGAATTTATTGCACAAGTTGAATAAAATTATATTATGCGAGCCTCAACGAGTTCAATAAATTCAGTAATGAACTTACATGAATTTAATATTCTATTTATCACATACCTAAATTAAAGACCGTTTAAAGTGAAATAAGAGTCATTTTTCAATGACGCGCCTATAGACTAGTATAACGCTAACATTTAGCGCGTCTTTACACTATGTTTGTATAACGCTAATGATGTCACATCAAAATATATGCATGGCCGTGACAGAGTCGCAAAATCGGCACGGGTGTGTGATAAAAATGGGTTTCTGTTTTGATTTCTAAATGAAACACAGCTTATTGTACTTTTAGAATTTTAACAGTTAAGTCAGACCTCATTTCCTAGTTTGAATCCCATTTCCTCTGCCACTCTAGCTGCTACAGACATTGCTGCCACTCTCCTAGGTTGTGTACATCCCACCTTCATACCATCCTTACAATAACCCTGTAACACATAAACAACATATTACATACAGATTGATAATGTTTCTGTAATATAATTGCTTATATTTCAGTTATTCAGTTATTTGGAATATACTTTCACCAGTGTTGTATAAAATGACTGATTTGCCAATTTAGATAATACATGCACATAGAATTATTCAGTTTGAAGTATTTTGAAATTAAATAAATAAAGTATTACATCCTTCAAAAAGCAATCCTCCTTTATAGCTGAAGAACCTTCATATATATACAGTTGCTGTTTCCAAAGCACCACCTTCAAGTTGTTATCTTGTAAGTAAAAATTTAAATGCTATGACGGATAGACGGAAAGACGCCAGGGGAATAACATAATATAAGCAAATTTTTTTGGGCATATAATTAATGTACTCAATATAAGTGATCATCCTATGAAGTTTGACAGTTGTTTAACTGATAACAATATTAAGGTCATTTGATATTGACCTTTGACCTTGTGACCCCAATAAAGATATGAATATTTTATTCAATATAGGCAATCATCCTATGAAGTTTGAACACTGTAAGCCAAATGGAACTTGTGTTATGCTCCAAAAATCACAATTTTCAGTGTTAAGGTCATTGTGACCCTGAACTTTGTCTTATGACCCTAAAATCAATAGGGGTCATGTATTGGACATGGCTGTTCATCCTATAAAATTTTACAGCTGTAGATTGATTAATACATAAGTTATTCAAAGAACAGCGTTTTCAGTTTTAAGGTAATAGTGACCTTGACCTTTGACCTTGTGACCCAAATTGGACATCAGGGGGTACAGCATAATATGCCCGAAATTCTTTCGGGCATATAAAAAGAGAGTTGCTAGTTCCTAGCCAAAGGAAAGTCAATTGCTTACAGTTTTAAATAGATATTGAGGTATTTAGGTAGTAACTTATGGCTTTGTATAGATAATGAGGTACAGTATTTGGGTAGTAACTTACAGCTTTATATAGATATTGAGGTATTTAGGTAGTAACTCATGGCTTTGTATAGATAATGAGGTACAGTATTTGGGTAGTAACTTACAGCTTTATAAAGATATTGAGGTATTTGTGTAGTTTTCCCTGACCCGGTCTCTCCTTCAATAATTAACACCTGGAACTGTTCAACTGCCTCTAATAAACTTTGTTTGAACGGATATATTGGTAAACTTCTCTGTGTTTCTTTTATTGATAATTTCTTCTTTTGTGATTCTGACAGCTTTTGTTCTTTTTCTCCCTTAAAAACAATACAATATTAGTATATTCATTCTATATTCATAAACTCACAACAAAATTTGAGTTAACCTTTTACCCCATGAGCATCTTGCGAAAAATGGCCGATTCCATTGAAAAGCCTCCTGTAACAAGTTTAACTGCTATGAAACTATGAAAAATGCTTCAATACTGATGAAACTTGGCACAAATGTTGACTAGACCATAGCCTCTGTAACAGCATGCTCAATCGTAAATTTCCTGTTACCATGGCAACGGGGGAACTTGGCGATGAAGGGACCCTTCAAACCCCCCAAACAGAAGGGGGCACATTCCCCTTCTAGCAACCCCCTGATGTATCTTTTGGTTGGGGGGCCGCACCGAAAAAGTGGTCAGTTTTTTTTTACAACATTTCTCAAAATAAATAGGGCATTTTTTCACTGTTTGAGGCCTCAAAATGGGCCGGGGGGACAAAAAGCCGTCAAAACATGTCTATATCAGGGAAAAGGTTAATTGTAATGACTGATAAATGTAAAATGTCCTTCCAGAGGGAAAAGCTTTTATTTACACTAGATAATATTTAGAACACTTAATGACTATAACTTTAAACAAATCCAAATTCACAGTTATCAAAATTCTCATACTGCCAATTGTAATGAAGAGCCTCTTATTGACCATTTCATTTCTTAGTTTTTGTTACAGGAATATCATTCATGTTTTAAACATATTTTTGTCTGTGTTTTCATCTACACTTATAGCATATGTAGAAACAAAATCTCTGTATCATTTATTGCAAGCATATACAATTTTACCTGTATGTGTATGGGTAATTGTGATAACAAGCACTGACAACTGATCAAATATAACAATTAATAATAATGAACAAAAATCAAAGAAAAATCATCTTAATTACTTAATTATTGAATAAAGTTCCAGTTTACAACATAAAATGCATGCAAATATTGGTAGTATTTTTTAATATCACTATCAAATTATGAACACAGTACTTAACTTTATCACCACAAAAAGGTAAAATAATGTAAAATTAAAATTTAAATTTGAATTAAAATTTAAATTATCCCACCTTTTCTGTTATAGTACCAGGCATTTGTAATGCTTGTACAAACTCTATTTCTTCATCCATTATGACATCATACTCTTTTACTTTATTTTTCTCTTTAGCTTTCTGTTTGGAATCTTTAGCACCAAATGACATCAATGCTGCACCCACATGTTCCTCCTCCCATTTCATCTGTTCAGAATTAGGCCCTGTAACAGTTTATAGATATGTCTGTGTTACAATTTCTGAGAAAAAATCTACAGTCAGTCAAATGGATAACTGGATAATAAAATAAGTTTCTTTCTCTTGTTTTTTGTAATATTTAGATCTGGTTCAGCATTTTTGAGACTAAACTTGATGTTTTACCCTACAAAGATATCAAAAAATTAAATTCATGGATTGTTATCATGAAGCTCTACAAATACAACACAAGCTCTGCAAGCCATTTTATTTAAACAATCTTAAAAGAAAATTATCCAGGCAGACTAAATACCAAGTTTGATGTCAATCATGGGGGGAAGCTAAAAAACACAAAAAATGAAAATCATAAAATTCCTGGAAACTAGACCTACACATGTTATACAGTTATGTTATAATATTGAGAGTAGTTACCTTTTGGACCATCTTCCTCGAAGTATTTATCTGAAGGTTTATCATCTTCTTTAGGTATAAAATATCTGTTAACTTTCTCCATATCTCCAGCTGATTTATGTTCCTTGGCTAACCGTAACACCTTCTTCTTATACTCTAACTCTCTCTTCTCTTTCTCACTCAGTCTGATAGTAAAATATATATGTTGTTATTAAAACAACTTACTTATAGACAGTTTGTTAGTTTATATAGAATTTATTTTAATTTGACTGTATAGAATACAATAAACTTAAAATCAGCTCCTAAAACTAACTGATACTTAGCAAAGAGTGAAGTTTCTTGCTCAAGGCACACGGCAAGCAATCCTTAGATTACTAGTCCAACACTTAACTCACTCTGCAATGCCGTTACTACGGCCTTTAGTTTAGTTACAAAGTAATGGTACATGAAAAACTTCATAATTAAAGATACATCATTCTGCAAAAGTGCGTGGCAGACTTAAAAATGTATCTACCCATGACGGTGAACAAATATTTCAAGTTAGAAGTGAATTTTTTTCACATAATTTGAGAAAAAGAAAAATAATATTCTATTCTCAGTTAAAAAGGGAAACAATTAAGCAAAAATGACTTTCAGGATAATCTGCCATTTAGAAATGCATTACAATTTTGGTAGTCATGAAGTATTCTAAGTTAATTGTGACACAACTTTGATAGACATTACTATGCAAAAAACTAATTTTAGGAAGGACCTTCACAAAAAGGTAAGCCCACAGCCATCATGACAACAGCCCCCTTTTTAAAAAAAACTAGAACTGCCACTATCATGGCGTGAATACCCCCGCATACCACTTTGTCAGAATCAACAGTGGCCATTTAGAGCTCAAGGACAACCTCCCCGCCAAATCTGAGGTTACTAAGCCAGTGCATTGCTAAGTTATGTATTCTACATGCTTCAAATGTGAAAATGTCAAAATCAATAAATTGCGGACAGGACATTCTTTAGCAATTGAGAAGAAAAGCTTCTTTTTTTTTTGTCAAGGTCCCTGTGACCTTGACATTTGACCCAGTGACCTCAAAATCAATAGGGGTCACCTTATAGTCATGATCAACATCCATGCCAAATATGAAGACTGTGGGTCAAAGGAATCTTAAGTTAATGGGTGGACAAACTTTTTGAAGTCAAAGTCCCTATGACCTTGACCTTTGATCCAGTGACCTCAAAATCAAAAGGGGTCATCTACTAATCATGATCAACATCCATGCCAAATATGAAGACTGTGGGTCAAAGGAATCTAAAGTTATTGGGCAGATAAACTTTTTGAAGTCAAAGTCCCTGTGACCTTGACCTTTGACCTGGTGACCTCAAAATCAATAGGGGTCATCTACTAATCATGACTTACCTCCATTCCAAATATGAAGACTGTGGGTCAGAGGAATCTTAAGTTATTGGGCGGACAAGCTTTTTGAAGTCAAGGCCCCTGTGACCTTGACCTTTGACCTCAAAAACAATAGGGGTCATCTACTAATCATGACTAACCTCCATGCCAAATATGAAGACTGTGGGTCAAAGGAATCTTAAGTTATAGGGCGGACAAGCTTTTTGAAGTCAAGGCCCCTGTAATCTTGACCTTTGACCTGGTGACCTCAAAGTCAACAGGGGTCATCTACTAATCATGACTAACCTCAATGCCAAATATGAAGACTATGGGTCAAAGGAATCTTAAGTTATTGGGCGGACAAGCTTTTTGAAGTCAAGGCCCCTGTGACCTTGACCTTTGACCTGGTGACCTCAAAATCAATAGGGGTCATCTACTTATCATGACTAGCCTCCATGCCAAATATGAAGACTGTGGGTCAAAGGAATCTTAAGTTATTGGGCAGACAACCTTTTTGAAGTCAATGCCCCTGTGACCTTGACCTTTGACCTGGTGACCTCAAAATCAATAGGGGTCATCTACTAATCATGACTAACCTCCATGCCAAATATGAAGAATGTAGGTCAAAGGAATCTTAAGTTATTGGGCGGACAAGCTTTTTGAAGTCAAGGCCCCTGTGATCTTGACCTTTGATCTAGTGACCTCAAAATCAATAGGGGTCATCTACTAATAATGATTAATCTCCATGCTAAATATGAAGACTGTGGGTCAAAGGAATCTTAAGTTATTGGGCGGACAAGCTTTTTGAAGTCAAGGCCCCTGTGACCTTGACCTTTGACCTGGTGACCTCAAAATCAATAGGGGTCATCTACTAATCATGACTAACCTCCATGCCAAATATGACGACTGTAGGTCAAAGGAATCTTAAGTTATTTGGTGGACAAGCTTTTTGAAGTCAAGGCCCCTGTGACCTTGACCTTTGACCTGGTGACCTCAAAATCAATAGGGGTCATCTACTAATCATGACTAACCTCCATGCCAAATATGACGACTGTAGGTCAAAGGAATCTTAAGTTATTTGGTGGACAAGCTTTTTGAAGTCAAGGCCCCTGTGACCTTGACCTTTGACCTGATGACCTCAAAATCAATAGGGGTCATCTACTAATCATGACTAACCTCCATGCCAAATATGAAGACTGTAGGTCAAAGGAATCTTAAGTTATTGGGCGGACAAGCTTTTTGAAGTCAAGGCCCCTGTGACCTTGACCTTTGACCTAGTGACCTCAAAATCAATAGGGGTCATCTACTAATCATGACTAACCTCCATGCCAAATATGAAGACTAAGGGTCAAAGGAATCTTAAGTTATTGGGCGGACAAGAAAAAACCGACGGACGGCCGGACGGACAGCCGGACGGACAGCCGGACGGACGGACAAGCTGATTCCAGTATACCCCCCTTACAACTTTGTTGTGCGGGGGTATAAAAAGGAAGCTAAAAAGGGGACATAATTTAGTAAGTTTATCACAAGTCATGTTAAAAGAACAAGATATATTATCTAAATCTTAAAAATAATTTTAGTTTAATTTTTTGGGCAAATACATACCATGACTTTAGTGCAATAACTGATTAACTACTACTAAATTTGGAAGGACTTATTCTGTTATTGCACTAAGGCAAGGATACAGTAAAATAATAAAATAAATGTCATTGTATGTCTTACTTTTGATCACCAAACAGATATTCCTCATCTAGAACATCTGCCTCTAATTCCTCTAGTTTGTCTACATGACGTTTCTTTAAGTAATCTCGTCGAGATTTCTTTCGTATTTCTGGAATGATCTTCTTTCTGTCTTCAGTTTCTAGATGTAACCTTTTCGTTGCTTCTTCATAAGCCTAGAAGAAGATTGGTTTTATTTACTAAATATAAAAAATTACAACTGTAAAAACAAATGTAGTTAAAATAAGGAGGTTTAAATGAAAGCAAATCATCCACTGATAAAGATTAATATAATAATACAATCAGTTGAAAGTGTTGAGCAACTGCTAAAAATGTAAAACCAAAACTAATGTCATAAAATTCATGACTAAATATACACGTAACTAATAATGTACATGAACTTTGAATTGTCAAAACCCACCCCCATTCCCTTTAAAAAAAAGAAAAGGGAGGTCTCATCTTACCTTTTTCTCAGATTTCGACATGACATTACGCTGTTTATCTTTATCTTTCTCCTTCAGTCTATCAGCAAATGCATCTCTCTCCTCTAAATCCTTCTGTCTATCATCTTCTATCTTCTCGTACTCATCTTCCGAACTTTCTACAGCAGCCGGTTCCTCTCTACGACCTCGTTTACGTTGTATCACTGTCTCCCTGTATACCAAATATAATTATCTCTCATGAAATTTATTTAAAAACATTAATAGTATATGTATAAAATATGCTCTTTTTGAAACATTAAAGAAACATATGTGTATGATATGATAAGCAATTTTCTGCAAACAAAATAAAATAAGGAATTATTGAAGTGTACATAACTGTTATCAATTTATTAACTTAGTCTTTCTATAAAATGCTTTTGCTATGTAATAGCTCTATGACTTGGAAGATACAGTTGAGGATTTTGGAATCTCAAACATCTCCAGTTTTAATAATTCTAATTTCTAGAAAACTTCAGATCCTTCATGAGTGGAAGCTTTGCAGTTAGCTCAAAGTGATATTATGCCCATCCATGTGAAAATGAAGAGTGCACTGGATAAATTCAAAATAACTTTACATTATGCCATAATTATGTTCAATATTATATTTTAATGTGGAAAAAAAAAATCAATAATTCACATCACCCACAGAAATTTCTAAAAATATCGTTCAGAATATATCAGTAGCATTCAATTTTTAAAAAGAATGGGACAGTCTTCTTATAATTTAGGTGGTTTTTACATTTTACTCTAAACATTTCTTAACATCAATTACTGGTTAATCACCATTATAAAAGTTTATCATTTGAAAAATATTACTTATTCAATTGAATTTGACAGTGAAAAAATGAGCATAATGTCACATTAAGGTAGCTCAGTGGTTAGTCAGGTAGCACTTTCTGACCAAAATAATGCACACAGAATCTCCTTAGGAAATTCACTTCATCAGTAAAGCTGGTAAGTTTTCATATGATCTTACCAATGTCAATGTGATTTATATCAAAACTAACATTTAAACTGTATCTCTTATCAAGACAACACGCTTCATAGGATACATGCATCAAGCATGTTAGCCATTCATCTCCAGTTGAGTTTTAAATGTTTTTAATCTTTCAGAACTAATACAGCATCAGATGATGTCTTGAATAATGTTATATCATATATTATAATGTTATAGTATATACAAGTAAAACATTTACCCATCACTTTCAGAACTGCTTTCTTCTTTCCTTTTCCTGAGGTGACGACCCTTCTTGTCTGATTTTGATCTCTGGAAAATATGTATCTTTTCATTTTGTATTCTTTTAAACAATTGAAATACAATAAAAGTACCATATAAATTTTTCATTTAATAATACAATGTATATGGTTAAATCAAATAAAGGTAACTTTCACTTCTTTTAATATCAATAGATTATACTAAATAATTTCAATAGATACAACTCAATTGTTACCTTTGAAGGCTTAATAAACTTTTCCGGACCGTCATCATCTTCATCATCATCGGATAGGAGCTGATAACTTTGATTTTTCTGTTGTTGTTCTAGCACAGTTCTAGCATGTGCTTTACTTGAACTCTCCTTCACTGCTGCATGTGGTATCTGTATAACACAACATTTACTTTATATAAGGATTATAAACAAGAGGGCCTTGATGGCCCTGAAATCGCTCACCTGTATATAGACCCCTGGGCCAATGCCAATTTTAAACCAGGGACTTTTATTTGAACAAACTTGGTTGACAGCCATTAGAAGATGTTTCATGATAAATATCTAAGCTTTTTTTCTAAGAAGATTTTTTTAAGTTTTTACTCTATACAAAATAATGAAAATCAATGACCACCTCGGGCGGGGCCAATTTTGACCCAAGGGCTTTTATTTGAATAAACTTGGTAGACATTCACTAGAAAACGTTTCATGCTTAATATCTAAGCTCTAGCTATTTTGGGTTTTTAAAAGAAGATTTTTTAAGTTTTTACTATATACAAATAATGAAAATCAATGACGCCTCGGGTGGGGCCTTTTTGACCCCAGGGCATTTATTTGAACAAAATTGGTAGACATTGACTAGGTGATGTTTCATGCCAAATATTTTAGCTCTAGCTCTTGCGGTTTTCTAAAAGAAAATATTTTAAGTTTTTACTATATACAAATATGGAAAATCAATGACCCCCCCAGGGCGAGGCCAATTTTGACCCCAGGGCATTGATTTGAACAAACTTGGTAGACACTAACTAGGTGATGTTTCATGCCAAATATTTAAGCTCCAGCTCTTGCGGTTTTCTAAAAGAAAATATTTTAAGTTTTTACTCTATACAAATAAGGAAAATCAATGACCCCCTGGGGCCGGGCCAATTTTAACCCCAGGGCATTTATTTGAACAAACTTGGTAGACACCCACTAGAAGATGTTTCATGCTTAATATTTAAGCTCTAGCTATTTGGGGTTTTTAAAAGAAGATTTTTAAAGTTTTTACTATATACAAATAAGGAAAATCAATGAAACCCTCGGGGTAGGGCCAATTTGACCCCAGTGCATTTATTTGAACAAACTTGGTAGACATTGACTAGTTGATGTTTCATGCCAAATATTTAAGCTCTAACTCTTAAGGTTTTCTAAAAGAAAATATTTTAAGTTTTTACTATATACATATAAGGAAAATCAATGACCCCCTGGGGCCGGGCCAATTTTAACCCCAGGGCATTTATTTGAACATTTGAAGACACCCACTAGAAGATGTTTCATGCTTAATATTTAAGCTATAGCTATTTGGGGTTTTTAAAAGAAGATTTTTAAGTTTTTACTATATACAAATAAGGAAAATCAATGAAACCCTCAGGGTAGGGCCAATTTTGACCCCAGGGCATTTATTTGAACAAACTTGGTAGACACTGACTAGTTGATGTTTCATGCCAAATATTTTAGCTCTAGCTCTTAAGGTTTTCTAAAAGAAAATATTTTAAGTTTTTACTATATGCAAATAAGGAAAATCAATGACCCCCCATGGCAGGGCCAATTTTAACCCCAGGGCATTTATTTGAACAAACTTGGTAGACACTGACTAGTTGATGTTTCATGCCAAATATTTTAGCTCTAGCTCTTAAGGTTTTCTAAAAGAAAATATTTTAAGTTTTTACTATATACATATAAGGAAAATCAATGACCCCCTGGGGTCGGGCCAATTTTAACCCCAGGGCATTTATTTGAATAAAATTTGATTAATTAATTAATTACTAAATTAGCACCTTTAGAAGTGTGTACAAATGTAACTTGTAGTTCTTATTAGTTTTTATAAAATAGGAAATAAAATTATATGATGAAAATAACAGTGTTTATTTTAATGTTATGTTATTGTATAGTGCATACATTGTAGATATAGTATTAAAAATTGACTCTGAATAAAATTTAGTAAATCTGATCATTTTGCTTTTATCTGTTTTTCATACTGTATTACATTGATTCAAATTATTGATACATATTCGGTTAATTTTATTTGAACAAGATTATCATTTTTTAAATACAATTTCTTAATTATAAATTTCAAAAAACAAATATTCTCTCAATGGGTATCATGCAAATTTATATGATATTGAGTTATCTCAATATAATCCAATATAGGTGTAACAACTAAGGTATGTCAAACAAGTTTACTGATATTAATCCATACAGTATATAATATCATTTATAAAAAAAAAGTAGCCGAAACGTCCAGGAGGTGTAAATACCAAAGGTGAAACGTCCAGGAGGTGTGAAGACTAAAGGTGAAACGTCTTGGAGATGTAAAGTCCTGAGATTCCTGTCCTAAAATATGGTCCACCCCGTCCAAACATACGGTCCGCCCTGTCCTTCATTTTTCTCAACTTATGGACTAAACAAAATCGAAAATGGAACAAACCTTATGCCACAATTCACTTGAAAAAACAGCTACATTTTCATCGACATCGATAGTTCCCGTATCTTTTAGTTTCTGAATATATTCTTCTGAGGACTTCGACTTCTGCGCAAGTCCGATCAAATACTGAGCAATATACTTGTCTGATATTCCAAGAATATCGTGTAATTTATCATTCACCCAGGTTTCGATCGCAGACATGGCTACAGTCAATTATAAACAGCAAAAATCTAGTTTAGACTTTTGTAAGGGGTAAAGTCAAAAATAATGAGGCAAAACTTTGAAAATAGGGTCAAAATTGAAATTTCATATTTCTACTTATTTTTCACCTAAAACCATGTGATATTGATTGATGTTTAATGCCGAGTAATTGGATTTTATCTAACACAACACAAATTGTATAAATCAACATTTTATTTCAACTTATTAACAAAAATTAACAAAACCAATGCTTTATAAAATTGTGTCACTATACTTCCAAATGTTAATTAAATCATGTGTGTTGTTATATTTTAGTAACAGTAGTGATGTACGGATAAAAAATATACCATTTTTTTACCAGTAGTTTTAGAACAGAAAAAAAAAATGCTATTGTTTTGTTACACAAGTCTGATTTTCTTTAATGTAAGAACATCAAGTTTTTCTAAAGTTGGAGAAAATTGGGCAGAGAAATAAAAAAGTAGTTGTTAGTATGTATTAATAATTACTTTTGATGTAAAATAAAGTTTCCAAATATTTCAACCTCTCAAAAAAAAATAATAAGCAGTCAAATTTAACTTGTATTTTATAAAAAAAGCGTTACACTCCTGACATGACTAGCATAACTTGTTTAAATGATAATAGTTCTTTACAGAAACATTGGAGGTACAAATAACATAAGAAACACATGTACAGAACACCACTGATGTTTGAAAACATACTGATAGGTTATTACATTTGAGAATTATTCTTAGAGCAAAGATATGAAGTTACACTTAAAACCGAAAACAAGTTTCTAACATGTAAACAATTAGCAAATAAATGGAAATAAAGGTTATAAATATTAATTAAGCTTCTGTTCCTAACCAATAGGAAAATATCAAAATGACCATGAAGAATCTATTTCACAAAAAAATGCACAATTTCACTTTAACATTTGAGTGTTACACTCCTGACACATTCAGGCAAGAGACTTAAAATATTGATTTAAAATATTTTTTAATGAAATACTTAAGACAAGTATAAGTTTTCTATGTTAATTGTTCCTTTTTGTTTATCTTGCATTGAATTACTTTGCTTCTCAACTGAGTGTGACTTTGTTGAGTCATCCCAAGGGCATGTAACTGATCACTGCCGGCCCAAAAGAAACAATTGCAGTCATCAGGAGAAGTACCTGGAATCTTCCAACCTTTTCTGCGAATTTTATTTTCAAACTCGCTTAGAGTTTCATTTTTATGCTCTGTTGAGTAGTTATATATATAAGACTGTCTGTAAGCACACCTCTCAGGTTAGTCTCTCTCTCTCACAATTGTTAGTATTACTAGCTACTACTTTATTAAGGTTAGGTATTAAGCAAAAGCAGAGCAAAAATGCAGTGTTTTGGCAGAATTCAAATGGTTAGTATTTTAAAAGACTAAGGACTACAATAACTGAAAATTGAATATGCAGGAACTGCATTCAAACAATGTGATAACAAAAATGATTGCAGAATTAACAGTAATTATCATAGATGAAAAAAAAATTACTGTATGTCTTTATTGTTATTGACTTGGTTACTGTTTAGAAATAATATCAAATCTCATCATACTAATTGGCATATATATTTGTTTACATAAGTTTTATAGTGTTTTTTTGATATCTACTTCAATTGTTTATTAGTCTGCTGAAAATAAAACAAAGTTAACTGCAATTGCCGAAAAAGAAAAAAATGTCAGGAGTGTAAAACTTTTCACTATTCTCACATACTGTATTTTACTTATATTGCATACTTAATCTTCAATAATTGTATATAAATGCTTTGTTCTGCAAAGAGTATATACATGATTTTAATTTCTCAGTAATTTCTTTAGTGTATTATCATTAAATTTCAATGATTATACTTGTCAATAGAAGACATTTAGGAAATTTTGATGTTATTTAAGTAAATATACTAAAAACAGAACTTAAGCATTGTGGTTCTTAAAAAAACAACAAAAAAAAAAAATACTTAATTACTTTTCCTTATGAATAGTGGCAAGAATCATATTTAGATACGAAATTTATATGGTATATTCATGAAATCTTTACAAGGTTAAAAGATGGCAAAAATAGTGTTACACTCCTGACATCACTGATGATCATGTACAGAAAGTGCATGATTTAGTTAACTTGAACTTATGTCAAGGCTGACATCACTTGGACTCATGTTTTTGAAAAAGAAAGAATATATTAATATAACACCTTATATGCAATAAGGAAATCAGTAAAAGTACAAGATGTTACACTCCTGACACTGAGCACTGTCATTATTTTGAATCGAAACCGAGTCAATAACATTTATAGCATAGAAAAAAGAGAATTTATATTCTTAACTATATACAATGGTCAAAATGTTAGAAGCAAGGAAAAGCTCTTAATAACAAGATATAAGCAGAAACTTTACTGTTAGTACAAACCATGCTTTTTTTAAAGTACATTTTATTTTACAACAACTGACTTTAGTGACTGGATAACCAAGTGGGATACCTACATTTTACAAAAAAAAATAGGAAAAAGCAATTGCGAGAGAATAAGATATATAACATAAGTGACAAAAATTGTCATTTAAGAAACTGTTTTTCTGTATCAGGAATAGAGAATCATCATTTGTGTAAAATGTCACACTAAAAGTGTTACACTCCTGACATTTTAGGGTAATTTTTTTCTTGTATCTTTTTCACTTGTAGCGTGATGTCCCTGAAACTTGGCATATTTTACAACACTGATAGATGCTATATTTAGCACTTATAACAATATACACAACTATTAAAATATTAATCTTGGTAGCCTTTAAATGTTTGGCCTCATTATTTTTGACTTTACCCTAAGGTAAACACTTCATGGAGGCCGCCATTTTCCTTCGTATGGTATACGTTCACAACCAATATTGATGACGTCACTCAACAGTAGGCATAAAAGTACTAAAAATGTCAAATATTAGTCAAATATTGGTCAGAAATTAACTGATTAAATATGAGTGTTTTGTCCGTCCCGTCCTACGAACATATTCCTTTGTGACATAATTAAATTGAAATGATTTTTACCATAGGGTCTCGGCGCAATTGTGGGATATTGTAAAAAATAATTCTAGATAAAAATATAAACTGTATATCTATATAATATAATATATCATCTGAGGACTTCGACTTCTGCGCCAATATATACAGTATATATTTTATATATACAGTAATTATTACAGCCATTTATTAATTCTGAACATATAAACATTAATCTAACTTTGACATATGCCCAGATATATCATCACACTAGCTGTTGGTTCTTTTTCATTTTCGGCTGACGTGTGAAAGCATGTTAGCCATGATATCACCACGACTGTAATTAAAGCCGTGATTTAACTTTTTTATTTTTAAAATCCCCTCAATTAATTTGTACCATACCGAGCATAGATTATAATCTCTATATATTTCACTTGTAATATTTTTGTTTTACACTTAAAATCAACATATATTTACTGAGTACGAGCTATTTATCATACCCTGGCTGGATTTAAAGCTCACTGAGCAAACTAGCTCAAATGACTTGGAACATAACTCATTCAATGATATAGTTATTCATAACATCTTAGAAAGCATTTCTTATAACACCCATAACATTTACGGTAAGTTCTTTCTGATTATTTCTCATAACATATTAAAAATCATTTTCTAGATGACACATTCAAGGAGCACATCTCATAAAATTATTAATAAACGTTACTGAATACTGTTTATTAAATGAATTTCAATACATACAAAACTCACTCACTAATTACAACTAATTATACTGTTAACATAAACGCTGAAAACTAAATACACCTTTTATATTTTTACTATTTGTTTCTGAAGATGTTTTTGATTTGAGTTTATTGGTTGGAAAAGATGTGTCATTAAAATTGAATCTATTTAACGAGCATGCATTTATCAAAGATAAAAACATGTTAAAGGATAATAATTCTTCAAACTGAAAATTGGATAAAAATACAAAGAGTGGTTGTGGCAACAATAATGAAAATAATCAACGGTTTCAAATAATAATAATAATAATAATAATAATAATAATAATAATAATAATAATAATAATCATCATCCCTAGTGGTACTCATTAGTGTCTTTAACATTGATCTGAACATATAATTCCTTGAATACCACTCACAATGTTTAGCATATGCATACAATAACATGTACATAGTACAATAGATAGCAATACAATACTCACTGATCACGTCTAGATCTTATGATAGTCTAAACATCACGTGCTGAATACTAGTCAATCACTACATACTAGAACAATTATAATGATACTCATCGGATGTTTAGAGAAAAATGTGGACACATTATTAATTTTCTAACTTTTGGCCAAACAGATATAAATAAATTTACACCATTCTATTAATTGCATGTTGAATTTTCGATAAAAATAATTTTTGCATTTCAAAATTTTATCAGATTTGACCTGAGTTATTCAATCAAAATAAAAGCAACTTAAATACTTCAAGCCATCACAGATATAATTATTATATTTCAGCAAAATAAATTTTCCGTCCCGTTAAAATAATTTCGCAATATTTAGTTGAGAGTGAAAGTCACGGCAAATAGATTGCGTGACACCGTCGGCTTCATCTGCGTAACCAGACGCTCTAGAAAAGCGCTTCGCGAGAAAGATGTACACGTCTACGAAAATGTTTTCCACTAAACATTTTACACTGACAGTTTTTACATTAACAACTCTATTTATTTCATTGAATTTTATTTCAATTGCTGAATGTCACGGGCACGGACATGATCACGATCATGGACATTCTCACGATGAACCTGCATCTTTCAAATATTCACAGCAAGCAAACGAACCTCCTGCAGATCATGGACATGCTCACTCTCATGGGGGACATGGGCATACACACGGAGATCATGGTCACGCTCACGGGGATCATGGTCACGCTCATTCCCATGGAGGAGAACAACATGCACATTCACATGGTGGTAAACGGGAAGCCCCAGGACATGGGCATTCCCATGGAGAGCAACCTAAAGGAAAAGCTGTGAAAAATACTGGAATAAAGTTGTGGATTGAGGCTATCACAGCAACAGCAGTCATAAGCATTTCACCAATTTTCATTTTGTTGTTTATTCCTTTAGATAATACAGACAAACATCAACCATTATTGAAAGTTCTACTAAGTTTTGCATCAGGAGGGCTGTTGGGAGATGCCTTTCTCCATCTTATTCCCCATGCAGTGTCTCCACATTCACATGGTGGAGATGATCATGGACACACACATTCCCATGACGAAGGTGGACACTCTCATGATATGTCTGTAGGTCTTTGGGTTTTGGCTGGTATTATTGCATTCCTAATGGTAGAAAAATTTGTAAGGATTGTAAAAGGAGATCATGCCCACTCACATGCACCACCAAAGAAAGAAAAGGAGGCAAAAGATAACAAGGAAAACACAAAAGATGAGAAGGAAACGACCAAAGAAACTACAAATAAAAAGACAGACGAGGTAGTTCAGACTAAAGGTAAGTTCTGTTGACTGTTTTATTTCACTATAATAAAGTCTGTATGTAAAACTGTTTTAGAAATGCAATAATGATTATTGAAATACTTGCAAAATACTGGAATCGGTGTTGTGTAAAACACTAGAACGAGTTAGATGCAGTATAGTACATACATACGTCTTTAAATCAATGGTGACAAAGATAACTGTTTACTAAGAATAAATCATTCTTGTAACAAAAAGCAATTTCATAAAAGACTTGTTTAAATACTAAATCCACATATATATATCAATTTTAGAGAGTAATATTGCTATACTGTATATTTTATTAATTAAAGTTGTTTTCTCAACATTTGGCTGTTGAAATAAATATGCACTTTCTCTACCTCAACAACGTTAACTTTCTTTGCCTGTCCAGAGCGCCACTGAGTGTTGGGCTCAAATCAGCTTGAACCACTGATAATAAACCGGCACTATTACAAATATATCATATGCCTGACTGTTAATTTTATTTAATTTAAATGTCATAAGTGATATTGTTTATGTTAAATCCAACGGGCAAATGTTTTAGATTTAACCATCCTTTCTCTTTAATATCTTTAAATATTAAGCAAGTCAACATTATGGATTAGATTTTTTTTTCCCTTAAATACACTTCTTTTGAATTTTGACTTAATGATTACTTTGCCATATTTTCATGTTTTTTTATCTTATTTAAGAAACACCAGTTGAAGATATAAAAGTAGCTGGGTACCTGAATCTTGCCGCAGATTTTGCTCACAACTTTACAGATGGTCTGGCTATTGGAGCATCTTTCATGATGGGTCAGAGCTTAGGAATTATAACAACTATCACAATTTTCCTCCATGAGATTCCCCATGAAATTGGTGACTTTGCTATCTTGGTTCAGTCTGGCTGTACTAAGAAAAAGGTAAGGAATATTTCTATATGCCTAATAAGACATGGAAGGTAGACATTGTGCATGGCCTGTAGAGGACGTTGTCCTTGGCGAGTAGATAACTTATAGGTCAAAGGTCAAGGTCTCGATGATGCCTTGTATGAATAACTTAAAAAAAAAATAGCCAAGTTTTGTTTAACTTGGTAGGGAGTCTAGGGTCATTGCCCATGTCATTGAAAAGCTTTACTGATTTTGAGGTCATAAGGTCAAGGTCTTAGTGACACTTAATGTTAAATCGTTGAGTGATCAATAACAAGTTTTCTCAGTCATTGGTTTGCTATGTTAGTTTCTTTAAATATTGAATATGCCTGACAATACTTACTGTGGAAGTTTTCATGGATATAGACAACATTTTTGTAGCTTTGTATTTCACTGCAAGTGATTGTTTTGATAAAAATTGCTAAACACTGGTTTGTGTTTGTAACAAGGCATTTGTGATGTAAAAGTATTAAAATGCAGATATTTATATTATCAAGTAGTGAAAAAATTTAAATGTGACTTATTGTTTAAAATACTTAGCATTAAAAATTGAAGTAATTTTATAAGAGAAATAATTGACTGGCAGGCTACAAGAAACATATTTTATCCATGTGAAATAATGATAAATCTGTCAGTCATGTAAAAATAGAATGCTTGCCCACTGTAGCTTGTGTGTATTTACATAAAAAAATTGTCTTTTTGTAGGCTATGATGTTACAGTTTAGTACAGCTATAGGTGCTATGCTGGGTACAATCTCAAGTCTGTTTGCGGAGGGTGTTGGCGAGGCAGCGACTACATGGATATTACCATTTACTGCCGGAGGCTTCATCTACATTGCCACAGTTTCTGTCATTCCTGAACTTCTAGAAGACACTAAACTTGGACAGTCCATCAAAGAAATTTTGGCTTTGTTAGTTGGCGTATATATGATGGTTTTAATAGGACAATTTGAATAATCAATACTTGCAATGATTATTGGGTATATTATATTTAACTCATAAAATAACAGCACTATATTGTTTTAGCTTTAAAATGGTGAACACTTGAATTAACTGCTAGTAGAAATCAAAATGATCATAGTTACTGTATTTCAGATCTATCACAGTCATTTTTCATTAAAATTAATTTTTTTTAACAAATTGTCTAGCAAGAATGTTTGAATTTGATCATTTTGTAATGTGAGAGCTGGTCTCGAAGGTTTTCTTTTTTTTATATATAAAAACGCTTAAAATGTAATATATAAGAACATATGAAACAAAGATATACGAATTATGTTTACATTGTTGTTATTGTACTTTATCATTTTGTGTATAAACCGCTTATTCATATCATTCACAACAGAAATCTAAACTCAGATATCATAAAACTGTTGCAGTATATATACATGTATATTGATTCTACCTAGTTCTTTATGATTTTTATCTTTGTTTTATTTACAAGAGTTAGTCAGAACTTGGGAGAATCACAGGAAATGTTAGATTAATGTAACATATTATTATACTAGATCAGTTACTTTACAACAGCAGAAAACTATAACATTTTGTTTATCTGTTAGAGTAGCACAAACTGTGGTATTATGATTGTTTGGTGATAAACCATAGTTTTCATCTTAAGTACTTGTTTTCTTATCAATATTGACATGTATATGTTTTTAAAATGAAGAAATGTACATTGGAGGGTGAGAAAAGCCGACAATATTAAGATATATTTACATATATTGTATATCTATTATAAAAGTGATCCTCAGATTGGTGTTGAAGTCAAAGTGCTTATTTCATAGCTGCTGTATATAATTGAATTGATTAATTAATGAAATTCAGTAGCACTAGTTGTTAGAATCTGATCTCCCATGATATATTTAATATGACGACTTTGTAACAGTAAACTCCCATTGCTTTATAAAGTTTAATTTTTGAAAAACAGAGGTAAATTAAATCTTAAAAGAAATGAAATGCATACACTTTTGTTTGGGATATAAAAACTTTTGAGGTCAGTTTATAGTTGTTTGGACTTGATAAAAGTTGTATTGCCCTTGATTAGAATTTATCTTGGGGGTCAAAATAAAAA